CAAGTTGCTAAAAGGATCCTCAGCAAGTTAACATCTTAACTTCGACAGTCGGCTTTATCACTTCAGGATCATTCTCCTGGCTCAAACGTCGATTTGAATTCCGTTTTATTTTTTAGCATGTTTCAGTTTGCATTTGTCTCCATTTTAACAGTCAAAGGGCTTGGGTTGGGACTTGAGTGATTTGATCTAATTTTATGCTTGAATCTAGATTCAAAATTCAGAAGTGAAATTCGCAATTCTAATAAAATGAGAAAACTTACTTCAAGTAAATTATCACGAGGCACATCGACATGTTTGAAATCGCAAAATTGTTCACCATTGAAATGGATTGTTGAAGCCAGTTTAGACGTCATTCTGAATTACCATGAGTCTTGTCGAAGATATAATTTTGTCTAACATTGAGAGTTGAAGTCAGTTTAGACATGATCCTAGTGGACCATGAGTGTTGTTTAACAGTTGATTAATTTAAATGTTGATATTAATAATAATTTGTTTCACCAGTCTAATGATTTGAAAAACATTTTAATGAGAAAATCTGTTCCATTATCCTTTTGTGCGTTGAAATTGTAATTTCAAAAATCTAATTCAGCTTACATTAATCATGCTTCAATTGTTTCAAATTGTTATGTTAATGAGTTTACATAGAAAGACAAAAAAATAGGTTTAATCTTTGTCAGTTTTTTGTATTATGAAAAATGTTGATTGTTTGGCGAAATGTTTAATGAATATTGAAAGTTGATTGTCAGAATGATTACATTTAATAAGTCAATCAAAATGCAATTCAATAGTTAACAGAATGACAATTATTGAAATTGTTTTCAGTCCCTCATCAAAATACAGCTTTTGTTTTTCAATCATGCAAAGTTAATTTGCTAACAATGTGACAATCAAGTCAGTGTTAACATTTGACAATTTAACAAATGATAGTAAATTAAATTGCAGTTTAAAGTAAATAACTTTCAAATATATTCAAACTAAATTTACCATTTAAATGGTTCCAAGTACAATGTCCTCTCAAGTATAAATACATTATAATAATTATGGTTCAACATGAAAATGGTGATAAATGTTTTTCAATCATTTCAAGGATTAGCAATTGTTTTTACGTTATTAATGGTTCACTTGATTGTAAGTGAGTTGAATTTTAATCAGTTCATGGTCTCTCTTGATCCAATTGAATCGCTTTATAAGAAACTAAATTTTGTATTTCTAATGTTGCACTTTTTCCCAAATTTTACTTTATTTTTATCGTTGAACAATTTAATGTTTTCTCATGAAACCTTTTCGCCAATAAAAACATTGATCAAGTGAAAATTAATCGGTTAAACATGAAAAATGAGATTAAATTGTTATAACAATATTGAGCCAAAGTTTCATCTCAAGTGTCATTTAAATGTGATTTGAACCTTTTTTTACACAAAAATCATTTCTTGAAACAAAATTTTCTGTCCAATTTTTTGCTTCCATTTCATGAAAAATAATGAATTATTCTTCTGGTTATTTCAGTTTCATGTTATCCAATTTTCCATTTTCATCTGTTCAGTGTTCAGTGAAACTTGATGATATTGAACAAAGAGAGACAAAATAATGCAGAATTGATCAATCAATAGAGTTGATCAAAAAGGTTAAACAAAAGCATTGCATTGTCATTGATGGAAAGCATTAATTTTCAATTTGAAATATTGACTTAAATTTTAATATCAAACCGTTTGACGATTTTCACGATTTGGTTAAAATGTTTCAAATTGATTCTTGAATATCAAGTGAAGCTATTTCATCTGATTATCCATTCAAATCTGATTCTTCTCAAGTTTCCCAAACTGTCTGTTTGATGAAATTTGAAAGCAAAATCTCAAGTAAACCATTTCCGATTGAAAATGTTTCCACTTTACTGTGTCAACCAAATGGATACAAAAAAAAGGAAACTAAAACTATACAAGAATATTGAACATTGAATGGTTTATTCATTGAAGATCAGGGAAAGAATCAGAGTTATTCAACTTTTACAATAAACTTGTTACTTCAATTGCTTTGTCCATTTGATTGGATAAAAGTTTGAAACATTTTCCTCTTACAACAAAGTGAAATGATATCATGAAACAATCTTATAACCTTTTGCTGTCCTGGGAGTTTGTCATTCCCAATTATCAAATATTAAAGAGCAACAAAAGCTCTATTAAAGTATTTCAGTTTTGGGATCAATTATTGTGGGCAAATAGTTGGTAAAACGATGAAATAAGCCTCAAGACGATTCTCTTCTAGATTATCGCAATTCCATGAATTTCATCAGTTAACTTTCACTTGTTATTACTTTTTCTTTGTTATCTAATATCTTATTCATTCAGTTTACTTTGAATAATATTAGATTGCCACTCGAGTTGACAAAAGGGTTCAACTTTATTGAGGTAAAAACTCGTCAAAATTTTATCTCCAGATTATCAAAAAGCATGGAAACTCTCTAAATTTTAATCGCCATTTCAAATTCTTTTTCATATTTACATTATTTATATTCAACTTTACACCTTTGTTACACCAAGTTTACTCAACGATTGATTTTTTTTCCAGTCGAGTTGCATTCTTTTCTTCACATTTTTCATGTTACCTCATGAAATTTATTTATATTTTCATCATGTTATTTCATTAAATTCATATCTTTTCCACTGATTCTTTTTGCATGGAAATTTTTCTCATTCTATTTCATCTTCTTAATTGTTCATTTTACTCACAATTTTCACTTGAATAACTTGCCCTTCACATGATAAATATGGGTTTTGATCAAACAAAACTTTTCTCTTCTCTCAAAATTATATTTAGTTTCAAATGAATTTCGAACCCTCATGTAAACACAAATCAAATGAAAACTCAATTCTTGTTGAAATTTGGAAATGAAAATTTCCAATCAATTTCAAGATTGATGAGATTATTTTGATTCATGAACTTGTCCAACTTTGATTGCTATCAACCAATTGCCATTGTTATCACCTATTATGTTAATAATGGAATCAAGATGAAGTCTAATGATGAACCGTGTTTCAAGTTGAACTTTGCTGATAACAAGATGGAGAAATGAAAATGTGAATTTCCGAACCGGAAATAATATTCCTTGGAATGATGATCCAAACAAAGTTGAGCTTTTTGTTATCATAAGTCAAAACTTTGGATATTCAACATTTTCTCCACTCTTTTTGTGTTCCCTTTTACATCATCATAATCATCAACATCATCTTACTGAACTTGACTTTTCATATTTATATAATGTTTTGGTGTTATTCATGGTATAAAAACTATTCTTTCCCATCTTCTCAGCATGAAACATGGTTTCACAACCATTATCTAGACTCTCATTCAGAGTATGAACACAGCGAACAAAAAATAAGTGAAAATAACAAGAAGAAAAATATTGATAAAAACTCTTAAAACTTTTTCTTTTTCTTTTCCTTATAACATGTTCATCTGTTCAAAACCCAAACTTATTCATGTTTCAACCGAAACTTCAATTAATATTATCTTCATGATAACTATTGTTATTGCCATAACATTAAGCCTTGAGGTGATTTTGTTTTAAACAAAAAAGTGGATAACTCATTAAATGTTTCGTGCTCAACCTTTTTTCACATAAATTGCAATTCATTATCAGAACTTTGTCAATTATTCAATTCCAACTGATTCAATTGATTCAAATGCTCAACTCTAACCTTTCATCTCCTGTCCTGGGAGTTTTCATTCCCAGTCTGTGGCCTTATGACATAACATTAGTCATTAAATTGTTGGGTCAATGGTTTCCATTTGTTTTCAAATTGCTTTTAAACAAAGGTTCAATTAAAATGTTGAAATAATATTTTCATTCAATTAACTATTTACTTTTGATTAACTATTTTAATTGGCTTTAAATTGTCACTTGAATTGTACCTTTTGTTTCAAATGTCAATCCATTAAATTGTTTATTGATCTCAATTTAAATGTAATAACTTTAAAGTTACCAACATTTCATTATTTCATCTCTTATTTTCATCCATTTTGGGTTTTTTTTGGGTTACAAAATTGATTTTTTTTCTTCCTCAATTTCCGTGACTTGAGTTTAGATAAATTTTGCTTTCCATTAACAATTTCCATCAGAATTTCTTTTCACCAAATGAAAGAAATTCTCTACCTAATTCTGATCAATTTGTCGATTCCTTTTAATGCAATCAATTTGGTCAAAATGACGATACTCAAAATGAATAATTTATTCAGAAATATCTTGATCATTGATTCAACCACAATCTCAACTGTTTATGCCAACACTTGATCAATTTAAATTGTTATTTTCCCATGAAATGTAACTATTTGTTTAACCCTTTATGATCAACAATTGAAGATGTTCCTATGGTTACTTTGATATACTTTTGATCAATAAATCATTCAACAAAATTCTTTAATCACAATTCGCCCGTTTATTTGGCATTTACTATCATTTTACTCTTAACCTTGGTCAAGCTCATTATTGACCATAAAAATGAGCTTAAAAGGCAAAATCAATGAATTTTCATATTCCTATTCATGTTAATAATAGCAATAATCAATGTAACCATTGGAACTAACGATTGAAATAAACGTTTACATCAAAACATCACTTTTGTGTCTTTTGAAGGTAAACTTCACATTCAATTTAATGTTTAATAAATTGCTTTGATTAAATCGTCTAAAGATATCTTTTCCCATTCAAAGCCAAATTATAATTTGATTTTAATGAACCTTTCACATTAAAATCAATATTAAAAAGCTCATGAAAAATGATAACTCATGAATTAATGGTTGATCAAATTTTCATTAAACCTTCATTAAACCTTTCAACTCACATCAAATACCAGTTTCATAATTAATTTGGTGACCAATTACATTAAGTTCCCGGTTAATTAAGATTGAGAACCTTTTAAGACTTGACTCTTGATTTAATTGAAAACCTAAATTTCTCTCCATTCAATATCTTAATTGCATTTCCATATTTTTAATTGTTACAGGTTTACAAGAGCGCATTGAACAAGAGCATAAATTTGCTGTTGTCAGAGGCGGTGAAGTAATTCAAATACTGGTTAATGAAATTGTTGTTGGTGATATTTGTCAAGTTAAATACGGTGATTTGCTTCCAGCTGATGGAGTTTTAATTGCCAGCAATGATTTAAAGATTGATGAAAGTTCGTTAACCGGTGAATCGGATCATGTACGGAAAGCACCTGAAGTCGACCCTTTACTTTTATCAGGTAAAATTGTTTTACTGTTTCAATCATTTTCATTTTCATCCAACCCTAAAGATGTTTTCTGGTCCTTCCTAGACTTGTTCAAGTTGTTTTGAATAATGAATGTTTCACTTTTAATTAGATTTATTCAAATGACAATTTTAATCAAAAGATTTAACTCTGAATATTCAACAGCAACAACTTGATCAATAATTTCGAGTTTGTGGATATCATTGATTTTCAAATGAAACAAATGTCTTTTTCATAAATCTCTATCAATTTTGCTTTTGCTGATTTACTAAATGCTAAATTTAGGTTTTCATTGGGTGTGTTAGTGGAGCAAACTGAATCCACCCTTTGATTATAAATAGACTTGAAACCCACCTCTAATATAGTTCATCTTTTTGGTTATCATTTGTTTCTTTAGGAACCCATGTTATGGAGGGAAGTGGACGAATGATTGTAACAGCAGTTGGTATCAACTCGCAAGCTGGTATTATTTTAGCGCTGTTAGGCGCTGCTGATATTGAAGATTCAAATAAACAAAAAGGTAAGTCCAGAAAAGATTGAAATCACAAAACAAAATTAACCTTTAATCTTCAAAACTCAAAACTTTCTTCAAAAATACAAACCGAATTTTTGGTAAAAATTCTGAGAAAATTATCAATGATTAATCTGGAAATCGCTTTTAGTTTACAATATTTCTGAGTTGAATGTGCGATTTTTGTGTTTACAATTCAAGTTGAAATTTCATTTTAAACTGAATCTCTTTTAATCTTCAAAATGTCGAGATCTGTTTTAAAACGAAACTTATGTTACAAAATTATTGCTATCATTTCGCTCTGAGAAAATAATGATTAATCCATGAAATCGCTGCTGAATCGACGATAACTTGAAGGTTATTCATCTGACTTTGATGTTCACAATCGAAAAAACTTTAAAGCTTGATATTAACAGTCGTTGAATCAGCATCACCAAAATGTCGACTTGGTTCAGTTTACGTTTTGTTATCTCAACAGTTTCTGTGTCCATTTAGTAGCTTTTATAGTTGATTTAATCTCGTCTGAATTGGTGAAATAAGATGGAATCATTGATGTTAATGATCATGAAAATGATGGAAATGGCATTCAGCCTAAAATGTCTTTTTTCATCAGTTAGAAAGTTAGAAAGTTAAAAGTCTATCAGGTCGCCACTCGAAAGTTCAGATTTCTTGCACTAACATTTATTGTATTAACCAGACAACAATAAACTAAAAAAATAATTGCTTTTACAATGCTTTAGAATATGGATTCTGTTTTTGTTCCTCCACCCAGTTAGAAATGATTTTATCAGGAACCTGAATTCCTAGAAAGCTCAACCCATTTTGTGGCTCAGTAAAATCATGCTATCATTTGGTCATAGAATTTCTTAGAACTCTTTTCGTGTAGTCACCATTTTGACGAATATTAATCGTAAAGCTGTGATGATTTTTCGCGATTTTAGTTTAAGGTCCGCTCAGTTCGCGGAAAAAGTTCATGTCTTGACTTGAATGTTTGGATTAAATGGAGACAGTTGAAAACCATAGCTATTATTGTCATTTGATTGATTCAATTGTTTCTTTTACTTTCAATCTTAATCATCATCAGTCACCATTTTGAGTTTCACATGATAATTCAATAACTTTACTTGAAAGATATTAATAATAACTAATATTATTGCTCTTTTTTTGTTCCCTGTCATCCAGAATGATGATAATAAATAAAAATATACATTCACTATTTTTATACTTTGGATTTTCATTATTTTCACAATTCATTAAATGATTATCTTTTCATATTTCTTTGTCAGTGTATTATTATCATGACAATGACAATTTAGTTGAATTAACGCTAGTTAAATCGTCATCATTCTTACCCTTTAACCTTTCCTTTAATCATTATCTGACAACTCTATTATACTCAATATGATTGATTGTTGCCAGCATTAAATGGATGAAATGTCCGACCAATCAAATTAACAAGAAACAACAATTAGCTCAATTCAAAAGTTAACATTTATGTTTTAAATAATTTGAAAAGACAAGACAAAAAAAAAGATTGAAAACAAAATTATAAAAACAATTTATTTCACTTTTCTGTCAAATCAAGTTTCAACTGCAAATAATTGCTGTTAATTGTTGACATCAAGTCAAATGAATCTTTAAACGAAATCAATTTAAATATTAATTTTTGATAAACTGAAATGAACAGTTCGAGTTAGGAAAATGAATAGTTAATTGAATTGCTTTCAGGAACTCTTGAAGTCCCTGTTACATTGTAACTTTGATAGCAACTCTCATAATTCAGGTTGTTGATGATGTTGATGACAATATTGCTGTTGATGGTGATGATAAATCACGAGGTAAATTCATCAAAAACAGTAGCTTTTTATGTAACAAGGTGAATGTGGTTAACATGGGAATAACATTGAAGGATTATGAGATTGAATAGTTTCATTGAAATATACATTTACTCTGAACAGTTGTTAAATAGTTGGATAACAGCCTTTAAATGTCTCATTGTTTCTGATGAAGATGAAGATATCGTCTGAATCGTAACATGAAACCCAGTTCAACATTTGAGATAATTTTTACCATCAGTGAGGACAGAAAACGATTTCAACATGAGATTTTGGATGTTGGTGAAAAAGGATAAACATTTAGATGATAAGTTGGTTAACTTTATCCCAATGGAATAGTCTGGTTAATGGATTAAACCTGGTTCAATGAACTCACCTATTTGTGTCCTTAAACTGATACAAAACATGGCGTAACATTGAACATGGTTTTTACCTGAGAAAAGAAACAAAAGAATACAAAAAATTGTGTTGATTATTTCCAACTGGTTTCCTCAGTTAATCAGTTATTCACTGGATTCCCTGGGAAGATTCAATATTCAATATTTTCTGGTCAACTGTTTGGTCAATTATCTTGATTATAACCTTCAAGATTGTTTTACTTTTGACTCAAATGAAGTTTCTTGAAATGTTTCCAACAATTTTGTCATGAAGTTAAACTGATCATTTCCATCATGTTAACAGAATTTCTCTGTTTTAGTATCAATTTTGAATTATCAATGTTTCTTCGAATCATCAATAATTCATCAATTTTCTGTTTCAACTTTTCATCAAACATTCATTTTTCCAGTTACATGATAATCAATTCTGTTTACATTGAAAGCCATGCTTATGATGCTCTTGGTGTAAAAAGTGAACACTTTTTGAAAGCTTAATTTGGTTCAAGTTTAAAGCACAGAAAATTGATTTTTAATAGCAAAATTGAGCTTAAATTTGCGATTCATTTTCATCATTTTCTCAAGATTGATTAACATGACAATTGGATTGTACAGTTTCAACAAGATTGTTCAAGATTCTTGCGATTTCATGATTGCTCCAGTTTTGGAGTCAACAAGAAATAAGCTTTTGTTTTACCTTTAAATCGGAAAATCAATCGATACAAGATTAGAATGAATAGATTTGCTGAAGATCACCGGATTTTCTGAGTCAACTTCTGCTTCTATTCAAGTTACTTTCATCTTTTCATCTTCTTATCTTCATCCTTTTTCCTTATCCTTAGTCAACATAATCTTCATCTTCATCTCTATTCATCTCTATTCATCAAACAAGTAATAATTCACAAATAGTGAATCCAGTTGAATCGCTATTTGAAACAATGAAATATTTTCTCGCTTTTTTTGCTCTCATCTTTAATTGCTTGTTACTGAATCAACATTCAATTGTAAATCACCTTTTAATCCCTGGATTACGTTAACCTCAGTTAATCCAAAATTAGTCGCTAATATTAACATTAATCATTTTTTATCAGCAAACAGTCGATTTGTCAAAACAAAAAGGTTTACAAATTAATCAACTGTTATTAACTGGTAACCAATTTGGTAACTCAATTGAAATGTTTACTTTTACCAATCAAAATAAATATTTAACCTTGTTATGATTAATACTTGTTAAATGACTATTTAATCATTTTTAATCACCTTTACCATGATTTATATCCTGATAAATCTTCACCAATAAATCCATTGATCATGCAATGAAAATACGTTAATCATTTGAAAAAAGTTGAATCATTAGAAAACTCTTTTTCTTCATATTTTTCACAATGTTCAACTCTTAATTATACTGATAATCATGGAGAAAACTCTTCTTCTATCGATTCCATTAGTTATAATAACCTTTAACTCTGGTTAATAGCTCAATCTGATCAGTATTTATGGTCCAAAATTGATCATCTTACCGTAATATCAATGATTACAATTGGTTAACTTGAAGCATAAAAGGATCACAAAAATGACACAACTGTAAATATGGTTGAAATGTTCTGGTTTAAGATTACTTTGATTTGTTCATTATGATATCATCTTGCAAATTGATTATCTGCATTTCATTACTTTCACCAAATATCATGTTATTTATCAGCTATTAAGTGTTAGGTCAAGTAAACAAACCAGATTTAATTATTGCTATGAAAGTGTCTTGATGGTTTCATTATAATTTGATAAACCTTTCAAAATCAAAGTCTTGACAGAAGATGAAGGTTAATTTGTTGTCTGTTTCAATTTATGTTTCAATTCATGTTTCAATTTCAACTAATTCTGAGAATTTATTTTTTCCCCTTTTTCATGACAGATGTTGACCAAATTAATCAATCAACTGGAGTCGCCAATGGATCATCAGATCAACAAAAAAAGGTTAAAGCAAGTAAAGCAAAAAAAGAGGAAAATGAATCCAAAGAAGCAAAGTCAATCCTTCAAGCCAAACTAACTAAACTTGCCATTCAAATTAGCTATGCAGGTAATTTCATTTATATTGTTATTTAAATCAACTTTAACAATTGAACCATTGATTGCCATTGTTTCCTTAATCAACTGTTCAACTCTTTCCACCTTTAATCTCATCTTTAAATTGCTCTTTAATCATTATTTTACTTCAAATGTAAATTGATTTCTGGTTTTATTGATTACCAGCTTTTCTGGTTAACTTTTGGAAAATTTTCATTTCAATTTGTTGCTTCAACTATTCAATATCAGATATAATGTTATTTTTAAGCAAAATGTTGATTGAACCAGTTTTCATGTCAATTTATGAATTACTTTAAACTGTTTCATCAAACATCGACTTTTGATTAAACTAATTCATGTTCAGTTGACAAAGTAAACCTAAAAATTTCTGGTCACTTTAATCAGACTAATGGATTGGACTAGAAACAAAATTAGGTTGATTGTTTTACTGACCACAGTTTGGTATCAACTTGATACTTTAAAAGCCATTGAACCATTTTCAAGTCAAATCTCATTTAAATATAGTCTAATGGCTTGAAAAGTCAATGATTAACTATTAATTAAAGCTTTCTATTCAAACTGAAGTTACTCTTGAAACTGTTTAAAGTCTAATTTTCCAATTAATCAATAACTTTGAATCTTTAAGCAAAATTTCAACTGAAAACAGCAAAAAACTACTTTTAGGTGAACACTGAATGTTTTGAAAAACAATTTTTTGCTCGATTCCTTAGGAATAAATTATGAATAAGAATCTTATAAATTGAAAATTCTGCTAACTTATAAAATTGTCATTTGATTGATTTACTTTTACACTTGGTTTAGGTTTAATCAGTCAAATGAATCGTTTTTTACCCTTGGATTCACCAGAATACTGTTTGTCCATTGCTAATCATTAGTTGATTAATTTTGAGGTGAAAAAATGTGATTACTTTGTTATTTGAACTGTCGCAAACTAATTGATATTTACAGACTACAATGGACTCGTTGATTGTTAATGATTTTTAGCAATATCGTAATGATGTTTACCTTGTATTTGCTTTTGATTAAACAGTTAAACAGACAATTGTAAATAATTAAAATGGCAATTGATTTTATCTTCTTCTATTAAATTGCAAAGTGACACTTCAATCAACATTAAATTGAACAAATTAAGGATTTATCATGAAAGCAGACACAGAGAGAGAGAGAAGGAACCAGAAAAAAGCTGAACAATCAACCTTTTTTTCCCAATTGTTTATTCATTAGAATCTCTTGTGAATTGGACAAAATAAAAGCCCAAGAATTATACAGAATTTTCAGACTGAATCGAAGCCAAACGACGGAAATGAATGTCTTAATGATGAAATGATTTTCCTATCAACAATTTGCAAGAATAAAAAATGTGTAAATAAGAATGAAAAAAAAGGCAGAAACATTGGATGATTTTATTTGCTCATCCAGAATCTAGTGACTTTAACAATTGAAGTTGAGTGTGTTTGTATGTTTGAATGAACATTGAAAGAAGGAAAAATAGATGAAAATGATAGACAGTAATCAAGATTAACTCCTTGGGATTTGAATGGTTCAATCCAACAACTTGAACTATTATGGTAAAGGGAAGGAAGAAAAAAGTAGTTTATTCTGATTGCTGTTGATTGGTTTTCATGTTATTATACTTTTATTTGGCTCTTATTTTTTTGTTGCTTGTCTTTCCCTGATCAGTTGTTACAACAGAGACTTATTTATTTATAAATAACAACTTGAACAATAACCTTTGAGAGAGATTAACTGAATCAACTGATTGTTGTTCATCTTTCCATTATTTACTCATAATGATGATGATCATCTTAACCAGCCTTTATTAACCTGAATATGTTAATGGGCAAACCATTTTGATTACATGAATTGAATCTTTTATCAAAACTATCCATTGAAACCCAGGAGGTTAAGCATGATGCTTTAGCATGACAAATCGAGGAAACATTTCCTAACCATTATAATGATGGTCAACATTAAAATGAAAACAATGAATCAATGATTTTAGTGGTTATTTAGCTTCAAGTCAATTTTATTATCCAGTTGGTATCTCAGTGCAAAGGAAACAATGATTTTGATGAAATGGGTTTGGTGATGATAATGAAGACAGGAAGATGATGATGGACGACCACCGATGAACATATGTGAGTTTTGATAGAAGAACAAAAAAAAGGTTGAATTGCTCGATTCTTGCTGCTGCTTCATATTTATTCAGTAAGAAATGGAAATACAACATTCAAGATAATTCATGTTTTCATCAATCAAGAAGTTGAAAAGTTTTCCTATTTAATTCACTTGTTCACTTTTCAATGTTATGGTGATTATGATGATGATTCTTGGTGAATGGATGGAAAAGATAAATGTTGGAAGAAGAAGGAAGAAAAAAAATGAACATTTTCTTGATGATGATACATTTATAATGGAAACAGGTTTTCTTGAAAAACTGAGATTGCTTGTCTTTACATTGCCAGTCACATTTCAAGTCCCAGTCCTTCCCTGACTGGGACTTGAACCAAGAGATAAATGATGATTTACTGTCTTCAGATTCACCAATAACTATTGATTTACCTTTAGTCTCATTGATCAATCAATTTAACCAAAATTATAACTTGGAAATACAATTAGAACAAGAAAATATCTTAATGTTTACTAACATTTCAAACCACAAAATCAGTCAAACTCAGAGAAGCCAAAATTTACATTTTCCTTTGATATTTAAAATTGAAAATTGTTTCAATCAGATGAGAGATATTTTTACACCATTTAATGAAATGTTTACATGTTTGGACAAGAATTGATTGTCAAGTGTTAATCAAGACTGAAAATGTTGCATTAAAACATTTCAATTAGATTATCATTTTATGATTGATCATCATGCTTTTCCCATTCTAACTAGACTCATGATTGAATATCAGATCCTCTATTAACACCATTGATTGATGGCTCGGATTAGGAAAGTTGCCTTTTCAAAACCACTTTCAATCTTATCCACAATTTCAACCCTTTGGCTTGAAAGTTAAAGATTCTCAAAATAACTTGCAATTATTTTCTGGAAAAAAACTAAATTCTGCTAAGACATTGTTCATTGCCTTGTTCATTATTTCATTCACATGATTGATGAGTTGAACATTCACTCCCAACCTTAAACCAAAATTCACTCCCAATCCGTTAACTTTAATCTTCAACTTTCATCTCTTTTTGCCCTCAATATCAGTTTTTTTGTTGTTCATTTCATTTTTTTCATTCCATCCTTTGGTAATTTGGTTCAACTTTTTTTTGCTCTCCCTTTTCACCTGAAATTGCATGCAATTGAAATATTATCATTATTACCTTTTATTAACACTTAATATTGAAAATTTCACTTTGTTTTATTGATGCTTCCTTGTTGATGAAAATATAGTTGTAATTCAATTCAATTTAACCTTAACTATTGGCTATAATTACTCTTGATGCATTAGGCTTTTGTATATTATTACGGAATGAAATTGAGAGAATAAATTAAATTGCCAAAAAAATATATATTATGAGTTAATTTGATTCTGTTATGCTTTTCCTTGTTTACTTGAACCTTTTTTTTCTGCTTCTCCTTTTCGCTTTGCGCTCTAATTTGAATATAACTTGGATATTTATCAATTCATCTTGGAGATTTGGTAAATTGTTTATGATAAATTAAGAGTTTGATAAATGAACTCTGATATTTAATAGTAAACCAGGAAAGTGAAAGTGAAATGAAATGAATTGAAATTAATAAATTCAGCTCAATTGCATAAACTAATTGAATAATATCTTAATGCATCTCCAACAGCAAACATAAGGTTTTATTTAACGATAATCGTGATCCTTCAAGTTATTGATTAAACATCATAACATGAAAGGATAGATTGATTTGTTGCGAGCAGCTTTAATCTCTTGATGAAAAGATATCAATTAAAATTCAAAATTCAGTCAATTCTGTCAAAATAAACATTTTTGTCTCTAGTTGCTGGTAACAAATGAAATATTTAACTTCAAATCAATATGAATAGTTGCTTTAAATTGACTTCTGGTTAAATAGTCAAATAACCAGATAAGTTAAAAATTTTGGTACAAAACTGGTTTCTTACCTTACCATTTACCGGTTTAAGGTCTTATCAATTTCTTGGAACTGAAATACATTTGGATTCTCAAAGGCTTTTCAGTTTATTGGTAAATCTGGAAATAAATCCTGAGCTTAATTAGACCAGAATTTGATAATCAGGCTTAGAGGCTTTCATAATGATTTAGCGATTTAGTGATCATTTTTGTCACAATCACTGTAATTTTAAAATGATGGCAATTCTGGTTCATCTTGAAATCTTTATTTCTATTTATTAATCTTTTTGTTTGATTTTTCATTTTCAGGTTCAATCATTGCTATTTTAACGGTTGCAATAATGACGATTCGATACTTAATTGCTGAATTTGCCATTAAAAAAGCTCGATTTTCATTAGCAAAAGATTTGCAATATTTTGTAAAATTTGTAATTATTGGTGTAACTGTTTTGGTAGTTGCTGTTCCTGAAGGTCTTCCATTGGCAGTAACTTTGGCTCTTGCCTATTCCGTTAAGGTAATATTGAACAATTGACCAGTTTTTGAACAATCAATTCTAATCATCTTTTCATTTACTTTACAGAGAATGATGGAAGATAATAATCTGGTTCGTCATTTAGATGCTTGTGAAACCATGGGCAATGCAACCGCCATTTGTTCAGATAAAACTGGAACATTGACCACCAACAGGATGACTTGTGTTTCAGCTTGGGTTGCTGGACATCGATATAAAGAAATACCTAAATATGAAGATTTACCCAAAGACGTTGCTGACTTGCTAATTGAAGGAATCTCAATCAACTCTGGTTATACAACTCGAATCATTGTAAGTGTTTCTATTTTTTCTGGTTGGTTTAAATGTCTATTACTGTCATCATTATCTTTATTGTATTATTTAGTCGTTTAGTTTAATGGTTTTAATTAATTTGAACAGTTTACTGAATCATATTTTCAGTTTGATTTTATATTCCACCTGTCAAATTAAATATTTATTATTATCAAGTCTTTTAGGTTAATTGAAAAAAAACACTGTTAGTTGAAAGGCTAGCTGATATTTAATTTAAACCAACTGTTTATCACTTTGTTTAGTGTTATAGTTTTATAATGATAATAAAAATAGCACATAATTTATTTAATTTGATGTTTATTTACTCATTTCGTTTCTATATCTTTGTGTTTGTATCTATCTTTATTTTCACCAGGCTCCTGAAAATCCTGGTGAACTGCCCAAGCATGTTGGTAATAAAACTGAATGTGGATTATTGGGATTTGTTTTAGCTCTTGGTAAACATTATCAAAAGGTTCGAGATGAAATACCAGAGGAAAAATTGTACAAGGTTTACACCTTTAATTCTGTTCGTAAATCAATGTCCACCGTGATTAAAACATCCAATGGTTTCCGTGTATTTACCAAAGGAGCTTCAGAAATTGTAACCAAAAAGTGTACCTTTATTCATGGGTCTGGAGGTAAACTGGATAAATTTAGTCGAACCGATCAGGATAATATTGTCAAGGAAGTTATTGAACCGATGGCCTGTGATGGCCTAAGAACCATGACCATTGCATATAAAGAGTTTGTCTACAATCAACCGACGTCCATTAATCAAGTGCATATTACCGAGGAACCTGATTGGGAAGATGAAACTGCAGTTATATCTAAACTCACATGTTTGGGTATTTGTGGTATTGAGGATCCAGTTAGGCCTGAAGTAAATATTTGTTTTACACAAAAAAATGAGCAAACTTGGATTTTAAACTTGAAATGTTACATTTTTCAATGGTTTATTGTTGCCAAGGAAATTAGCGATTTTGAGATTAATTTTGAGAAATTTCAATCACATGAGGCAAATATTTCATTACATTTTCAGATATCTTAGCTTTTTCATTGAAAGTACATCTGAATTGGTTTCTATCAGAAGATTTCCTTTCTTAGGATTTAATTTTTAAGACTCAGTGAATTTTAGGATAAATGTAATTTGAAAATACGTTTTGACTCTGTTTAAATGAAGAAAATGTTTCAAGTTTTGCCAAATCCAAGCTTCGAAAATTGGTTTTGTACTGAATTTAACTGTTTATGTCTTATTTTACAGGTTCCTGATGCAATAAGAAAGTGTCAAAGAGCAGGAATTACCGTTCGAATGGTTACTGGAGATAATGTTAACACTGCTCGTTCGATTGCAATGAAATGTGGCATCATTAAACCAGGCGAAGATTTTCTGGTTCTTGAGGGAAAAGAGTATAATAAACGTATCCGTGACTCTAATGGTGAAGTTCAACAAGCTCTTTTCGATCGTATCTGGCCTCGTTTACGGGTTCTTGCTCGTTCATCACCGTCCGACAAATATGTTCTTGTAAGTGTAGATCATCTAATTAATTGAATCTCAGTTTATTAATTTCAACCTTTCTTTCGTTTAGGTTAAACACATGATTGAATCCAAAATAAGTCCTGCTCGGGAAGTTGTTGCTGTCACTGGAGATGGTACAAATGATGGTCCAGCACTGAAAAAGGCAGATGTTGGTTTCGCTATGGGTATAACTGGAACTGATGTGGCTAAAGAAGCATCTGATATCATTTTGACTGATGACAATTTCAGTAGCATTGTAAAAGCCGTCATGTGGGGACGAAACGTTTATGATTCAATTGCCAAGTTTCTTCAATTTCAACTGACAGTCAACGTAGTTGCTGTAATTGTTGCTTTTGTTGGTGCTTGTGCTATCGAGGTAAATACATTGGTGTTTAATAGTTGAAAATTAAATGTCACAGTCTAACCTTTCTTTCCTTATCTCTCTTGTTTTACAGGACAGTCCACTTCGAGCTGTTCAAATGCTTTGGGTTAACTTAATCATGGACACATTGGCTTCACTAGCGCTGGCCACTGAAGTTCCTACTCTATCATTATTATTACGAAAACCTTATGGTCGAACTAAGCCTTTAATATCTAGAACTATGTTGAAAAATATTGTTGGTCAGACAATTTATCAACTCACAGTTGTTTTTTATTTTCTATTTCATGGTAAGAGTTGAAGGCAATCTTTCAGATAATTTCGGTTAAACTAATATTTAATGCCTTTTTTCAGGTCACGTATTTTTCGATATTGACACGGGAATGTATGCTCCAATCGGGGCCCCTCCATCACAACATTTTACCATCATTTTTAATACTTTTGTCATGATGACGCTTTTCAATGAAATTAATGCCCGTAAAATTCGTGGGGAAAGAAACATTTTTGAAAATATAACAAGAAATCCTATTTTCTGTATTGTTATCATAGTTACTCTTGTTGGACAGGTAATTTGGTCAACCTTAAATCGCCCTTTATATTGTTATACATTTTAACTTGTTTTTTCTTTCAGGTTTTAATTGTCGAATTCGGTGGTCGAGCATTTTCAGTGGCCCCCTTAACTCTTGAACAATGGATGTGGTGTATATTTTTTGGAGTTGGTGTCATGGTTTGGGGTCAAATATTAACTACTATTCCAAAGAGTATTTTAACTAAGAAATTCTCAGTCGGTCGTAAACCACCTGAAGATATGATTGTTGCTCCTGTTTCAATGTGGGATGACGGCAAAAGGGAATCTTATGCAAGAGACAAAGCTTCAGGCCGAATTTTATGGGTTAGAGGAATTAAGCGTCTTCAACATCAAGTTAGTGTCAATAATTTCAAAACAATCAGTCAATAGATATTGGTTCTTAAATAATTTACTAATGATTATTTTGTTTCTACCAATGTTTACAGATTCGTGTTGTCCATGCATTCCGGACCGGTGTGGATGAAAGAAGCATCCCATCTCAATCTTTATTGCGAAGTGCATTCCTTCATTCGGCTCCATCAATTGACAACGAGAAAATGAACGAAGCTACATCAGCGGAAAATGTGAATGTTGAAAATCAAGCACATCTTCGTCTTACGACAGCACAAGCTGACTGAGAGATGGACCAAATCGGAAACTATTTTGGATCTAATATTAGATCGAGGGTAAAAGGATGGCGTAAATGCAAAAACCTTTACTAAAGTATCATTACCGAATAACGCACGCAAATACATTCATCATCACAATCAACCAAATCATATTTACTTAAACGGAATCTACATTAAATCAGACTGAATCAAGAAAAATAATAAACAAAACGAGATATAAAAAAGAATCACAATATTTAAAGACGACAATTAAATGATTAAATATTTTAGCTTTTTTTACTACCTTTAAATATGAAAAAAAGTAAAAAATAGAAACTAAAGATTAAGATGACTTTTTGGTTTATCTAATGGACAATGTTAATCTGTTAATATTTAAAGCTATACTGACTTTGGACTTCATTTTGTGCTGCTTTTAGTTAGCATTTTGTTTTATTCAACAAAACTCGAAATTTTAAAAATTAATCGGATGATAATTAAACTCAATTTAACTCACTTCAAGGCAAAATGCATCACACCAACAAAAGGATTGAAAACTAAGCAACCAAATGAAATCTGCCTTTCATATTTTAAATTTACATTTTTGACCAAGTGCCCTGTCTGGTTATTAACAAGCCATAATTTATTAACATCATACAAATCAAATACTTTCATGTTTAAATTATCAACTCAAAGCAACTTTGGATTATCCTGAAATTATTGAGCTACTTAAACCAGACTGAAGAGAGACCAGGAAAAAGGAAAGCTGTTTACAAGGAGTTGGCAAAGTTAATTTCAATGGATTTGCTTTCAATAATCTTTTAGGATTACGAATTTCTGATTAGCCCAGAATGAGAATACGTATTATTTTCATTAATAGCGTGTAAATTACATATTTGCTGATTCCAGAATGAAAATGGTCATTCTTGGAGAGCGAGTATTTCTGATTATATCTTAACAATTATGTATTAGAATGGGTTTTACGTTTGCTTTTGTTTTTCATTTTTTAATTTGATTTCTCATCATTTGTCTGCTTATTGAGATAGTTAATCTCGATACATTTGCATTGATATTGTTTTAATATTCAAAAGCTCTCAGTTTCAATAACCAATACTGACTCTCTATATCATTATATATCTTGACATCTCTTGATTGAGATTAATAATTGTTATGAAAATAATAGCTTAACTGTGCCTTGTACCAAAATTAAATGCTAAGATATAATGGAGCAAAAAACAACAATGTAATCAATTAAAATGAAAAATGAAAGCAAATTAAAGCAAATCTTGAAAGTTAATATCAACCAGTTAACTAATGTTTTTAAAATTGGCTCTTGTTTCAGTTGATTAACTTTAAGAATGATTACTATTACATTCCCAATTCAAATTTATCAATATGTTCTCTCTAATTTTCATTTGTTTTTTTCTCTCTCTTCATTGTAAAAATTCAATAATTCACCCAATGTACTTATCCCTAGACTTTTTGTTAGTCAAGAGAAGAGAGTTTATCTTAATAATTTGATAAATCAGCTTATGTAAATTGTAATCAAAGAAATCTTTTACCCGAATTTCCCTATCACCTTCAATTAGATTTAAATTAAACAATTTTTGCTTCAAAATTGAATTCAATCTGGCTTGAAATTATTTTCATCTATAATTGTTTATTAAATAAGTCAATCAAATTAAGTAAATTTTCAGTGCTAAATCGCTGAAATTAACCATTAGATTTGAACAATTTGGATTAAAAATACGTTGGAATCAATAAGATCATTAAAAATAAAACGATTTAAAGTGTACAGCTTGCTTGTTCTGCCCTCTATCAGAATTTTTTAAAGATGAGTGAGGCGAATCTTAAAATGTATGTTGAGAGTCAAACATCAACCAGGCATGAGTCTTGAACCTCTTCCTTCTAAATCAACCGACTCCAGAAATTAACCTCAAAATCAAACTAAATATTTATATCAATATAATGTTTTAATTGTGATCATTTTTTCCCAATCATCTACTCAACTTTATCTTTAACCATGGAGATCGGCTTTGGAAAAAGTTTTTCCTTAAAACGAGAGGTAGGTCAAGGTTTCTGTTTTAATGCTAATCTACCTAGGCCTTGATGCATGCTATTTTATTATTGAATCTTTATTAATGTTGAGATAAATGCTTGTTCAGGCTTCCTTAATCTATCTTTTATAAATAATTCTGACCAGAATTTATATAAAATCTTTGATATAAGTTTTAAAGCTGAACTAATTTTGTGTGTATCTTCTCTCGTTTACCATGTTGTTTTTAGATATCAAGTGGATGTAGATCTTCAATTCTTACTGATAATATTGAATTTCGAAGCTACAATGCGGATGAGTCTCTCGAAAAAAGGCTTGATAACTATGGAAAGTATACTGTGTTAACACCTGATCAACAAACCAAATGGATTGTTACAAAAAAAGTAGAAGCCGAAAAAATTGTTGAATTAAACAAATCAATTAAACTGCAAGCTGCCACCAACGGCTTTGTTACTCCATCATATGACGCTATTGGGCCTCGTAAAGTCATTGTTTACAATAAAAAAGTCCATCTAGAATGGAAACAGGTGAGTTGAAGCACTATGTGCAAAAGCCGGCTTTTTCAATCGAGCCTCTTCTAACTGAGAGTTTATTTATTCTACAGGTCAATAAAGTTGGAGCTGGCCTTGTTAATCTAGGAAATACGTGTTACATGAACTCCGTTTTACAGTGTTTAACTTATTGTCCACCTTTAATAAACTATCTCTTGTATTGTGGGGATGATCATCATTCACAATGTACGTATGCTTTCTTATGCCATATTGGTCAAATATTGAGTTTATTTCTTACTAATGCGTTGGTCTTTCTTCATACAGGTAAAATATCTTCTTTTTGTATGATTTGCGAGTTCCAACAACATGTACTACGTTCCTACAACAGTCCAAACGGAGCTATAAAACCATCGAATATACACATGAGGCTGAAGTCTATAGCTCGACACTTCCATCCTAATCGACAAGAAGATGCGCATGAATTCTTGCGTTATGTTTTAGATCATATGTGGAAAAGTTGTACCACGAATTTTGAATTAACACATAACTCTGTCAAACTAGATCCTAGGAGTAAAGAAACAACTGTGATTAATGAAATTTTTGGTGGTTATCACCGTAGCCAAGTAACTTGCTCTGTATGTAAAGCAAAAAGTGACACTCATGACTATTTCATGGACTTTATTTTGGACATTAAGGTAAATATTTCTATCTTTTATTCATGCATGCATATTTTCCTTATTTCCTGAGAATTTACAATTTTTTTTATTTATCTTTATAGGAAATAAACAATTTAGAAGATGCGTTCCGTAAATTTACGCAGCCAGAAATCCTTTCGAATGATAACGCTTATAAGTGCCCGAATTGTAAGAAGAAAGTTATGGCAACCAAACGTTTCACTGTGTACAAGCCTCCTAATGTGGCGACCATTCAATTCAAGAGGTTTGATTACAATCGTATTTATGGAGGCAAGATCACGAAAAAAATCGCCTACCCCGAAACATTCAATATAAGACCGTTTATGTCTGACTCCAAGGTAATTATCAAGTCAAACTTAATCTAATCCATGATATTTTTTTTGAAATCCGCTAATTGTATTTTTTATTTAACAGGGTTCTCCTATTTTGTATAAACTGAATGCTGTTCTAGTGCATTTAGGGTCTACGTCTAACTCTGGACATTATTATTGTTACATTAAAAGTTCGAACGGTTTATGGTATCTTATGGATGATGATAGGGTTATTAAAGTAAATATTAATCAAGTTCTTGACCAGCAAGCATATATATTATTTTATGTCCGTTGGCTGGGTCTCAACAACTGTTCTGCTGATTTTAAAGTAAGTTTGTTTTCCTTCTAAATTGATCATCGAAATATGTTCCAATCTATTTAATTTTGATTTCTCGATTTTTTACATATTTTAACTTTTATTTTTTCCTCTTGTTACAGAAGATGGGTCTAAACAATAATAACAATAATAATCAACAAAAAAGTAATGGGATTATGGATAATATCCGCTCTATTACTGTTCATCCAAACGGTAATGGTAATGCTAAGTTCACTAATGGAGGCTCACCTCAATTCAACTCCATTAACAAATTAAATAACTCAAATGGAAATCGATTGTCAGTTTCTGGAGACAAGCCGTCATCAACAGGCAGCTCTGAAAGTGATACCTTGCCCGGACAAACTAGAATGATGAAAATATCATCTAACTCTCTTGTAGATTATGACGATGACTCCTCGGACGATGACTCTGATTGTTCTAACCCTGTTCAAAATGGTTTCGCCAAGATAATGAATCCTAACCAATTTAACGGAGCGATCTCCAAGAAAGCTGAGAAACGCCTAAGGAAATTAAAGAAGAAAAACAAGAAGAAGCGTAAACGGAAAAAGTATTCAGAAGAATTAGAATGGATAGAAAGGACTAAGGAGACTGTAGAAAAAGAGCGAAGAATAAAGAATCAGATATAAGTTAATTTAATTTCTCTGCATTTGGTTTTCATTTCCATCCCTGGTAACGTTTATTAACTGTTGAACCTGATAACAGTTGAAAGCAAAATGATATTTGCTACTTTCGCTAAATAAGAGATTCGTTCTCTATCGAATGACCATCAAAATGAAACCGTGAAAATCATTTCTTTAACCATCACGTAAATCACTAAAGCCTGGCATACAAAGAGACTAATCTTTTTTTTGAAATGTTGATTAACACTTCGATCAAAAAACAACCTCGGATATTTCTCATCTTTCAACTCGAATCGGTGAGAATTGACCATCTAATTAAAAAACGATGGTTTCAGATTTTGGGCTCTCATTTGAAGTTATTTGTTCATTTTTATACAGGATTTATTGCGGATAGTGTGCAACAGGATTGTTTAGCATGATGTCTCTTCGTTACTTTTCATAGTGATTAAATGCTGATGGGAGAAGAAAATGATGACTCGAATTTCAAAGAACTTATTCTTCTAAGTTTATCGATTAACTAAATTTAAATTGACAACATTGACTGCAGCTAACATGCCAAATTGTTTTTTACTAATTTCTAATGAAGGATTAAAAATGTTCATCACAATCACCACCATCTTCAACACTTTGGCATCTATTTTTAATCAATTGATTAGCATGACACTTAGTTACCATTAAACAATTATACATATTGGTAAACGAACAGAGTGGCAATTTAAAACCGGACAATAATAAAACAATTATCCAGAGTCTACTCATTTATTTACTCAGAAGACTGAATTTGTTTTATTGTTATGTTCCTTCTGTGTCAATTTTTATTAAGACCAATTGACAAAGGTATCTGTGGGCCCAAAATTTTCAAAAAAAATCAATAAATTATTTTTTAACATTTCTATAACTGGTTAATTCACTTGATTTAGAGTCTAAACAAAAAAAATATGATAAAGAATATAATAATTGACTGAAAATTATGAAGTCCACAAATAGTAATCAGTATAGTTGATTAGTCGTAAGTGTTCAGTAATTTACACTTTACCATTTTACGTAAACTTTGGCATTATTGAAAAGATCAATGATTAAATCGGTAAGAACTATTCAATTAGCGATTCATTTTAAAACGCTCAAAACTAGGCGCCTCCTTCACTTGGGTCAGCTGTTATTGTGAATGAAAATTTTTGTTTTGATATCAACAGAGTTTTACTTATTGTTAGTTTAAATTGGATTTAAAATGTCTGAATCTCGTGTAAATATCGATCTTGAATCATTCATCGAGTCACAATTGAGGTTAATTCAAATCGAGTATGAAGCTGAAATTGAAAAAACTAAGTAAGTATATTATCTTTTGTTGCTATTTCAAACTTACATTCTTTTGACTCTGCTAATAGTCATTGTTTAATCAACTTGACTGCCATCAATGTCTAGAAATTAACATTATCACTCTATATTTCTACTTCAGAGAATATCAGAAAAATCTTAAATTGGTTGATTTAGTTCGTCAAGGAGTATGCATTCACAAATTGAAATGTGTATCAATCCGTACTGGTTTGTTTCGCCGTCTAATGGTTTCCCTTGGTCATAATCAATCTGATCACCCATTGCCAGCTCATAAAATAACTGTTGGAGATATTGTTTCGTTACATGAAGGGCCTGACTCAGAATCACTGGCTTCTGGTGTAGTTTACTCGCTCAATTCAAATAAAATAACAGTGGCATTTGAAAAAGATAGCAACCTAAGCTTGGATCAAGAATTCTCCAACTTTTGTTTGATCAAATTATCAAATGATGTGACCTATCGAAGATTGAAAAAAGCTCTTATCAATCTAAGAAATTATCCAATAGGAGGTCGTGCTCAAAGATTGATAGATCTTTTGTTTGGAAAACGAACACCTAGTCGTCCAATTGATATCGATCCAATTGAATTTTTCAACAAGCAGTTAGATGATTCTCAAAAAGAAGCTATTACATTTGCGCTACGATCTAAAGACCTGTGTATCATTCACGGTCCTCCTGGAACTGGTAAAACGACAAGTTTAGTTGAAGTAATTCTGCAGCTTGCCAAGCAAGGACTCAAAATTTTGGTTTGTGCCCCTTCTAATGTAGCTGTTGATAATCTTGTCGAAAGATTGTCTGCTTTCAAAGTGCGAAATATGATTCGATTGGGCCATCCTGCTAGAGCCTCAAAGGATCTTCAGAAATTCACTTTGGATGCAGCAATAGCTCGTTCTGATGAGAACTCAATCGTAGAGGATATTAGACAAGAGATAGATGGTATACGAAGCTCGAGAGATCGCAATAAAAGAGCTCAAATTCATGATCTAATGAAAGATTTGAAGCAACGGGAAAGAAATATTGTCAAACGAGTTTTAATTAGCAGTGATATCGTATTGTCTACTTTGACTAGTGCCTCCAGCGATGGTCCTTTAAAACATATAGTTAAAGATTCTTGTCAACAGTTTGATGTTTTAATTATTGATGAATGCTCACAAGCATTGGAAACGGCCTGTTGGATCCCCTTAACTTTTGTTGATAAATGTATCCTTGCTGGTGATCATTTTCAATTACCGCCTACAATTATATCAGAAACAGCAGCAAAGGAAGGTCTCGAATTAACATTGATGGAGAGATTACTATCAAGTTTTGACCATGAATTAGTTGTTCGTATGTTGACTGTACAATATCGAATGCATCAAGATATCATGGAATGGTCTTCGAATAGGTTCTATTCAAATAAATTGGTTGCTCATGACTCCGTCCAAAACCAATCAATGTCTGAAATAAGTAACCTTCAAGACTGTCCACCCTTACTTTTAATTGACACTGCAGGCTGTGATATGTCCGAGCTTGATGTTGAAGACGAGGAATCGAAAGGAAATGAATCTGAAGCTGATATTGCCGCTTATTATGTCTTGCATTTAACTGAAGCTGGAGTCAAACCCGAAAATATCGGAATCATTACCCCATACAACTTACAGGTTGAATTAATTCGATTGCGTTTAAATGAAAAATATCCAACCATTGAAATAAGATCCGTAGATGGTTTTCAAGGAAGAGAGAAAGAAGTTATCATTTTATCTCTTGTAAGATCCAATGATAGCAAACAGACAGGGTTTCTCTCTGAATACCGGCGAATCAATGTTGCCGTAACTCGAGCCAAAAAACATTTAGTTGTTATTTGTGATTCTGATACCGTCTCATCTGAACCTCATATTTCATCTCTTATTACTTATTTGAATTATAGAGGCGAAGTTAAATCAGCTCATGAATATGTATCTTCTGTGGAAATATTCAAAGATATTGAAAGACCTCAACACTTGCGCTTCAAAGAGCTAAAGAAAGATCAAAAAACGACAAAGAAAACAAGCGAAAGAAAAGCAAATAATAATAAGAAGAATACATCTTTCCCAGATAACCAGAAACCAAAATCAAAGCCGATTGTTTCTCAAGACTCAAGATCACAAGATAATGATGACATAGTTAGGAAGATAAGACAAAAATTGGTTAAATTTCAATCATCATCAGAGGTCAAGTTGGCTTTTCCACCTACTTTGAACTCATTTGAAAGACGAATAGTCCACGAGATTGCTGAAGAGCTTCAGTTAAAACATGAAAGTACAGGAGAAGGAGATAAAAGACACATTCTAGTAAAGAAACTAATTCCCAAAAACAGTCCCACAAAGTCATTAATAGCTGAACGTTCGGATCAAGACAATCCTCAACAATCAGATGAAACGTGCCTTTCAACAGAAGTTGATACAGAAGTTGATCAAAGTTCAAACAATCTAGATGAACAGCAGTCGAAAAAGATTTCAAATAAACCAGCCAATCCAAAAAAATCGACTGAACAGAAAATTGTCAAAGAACAACCTGTCGCTAAGCATGTGACTAATGTACAGAAAAAAGCTCCGCCTGTTGTTTTAACGAAAAATTTTGATCTCAACAATAAATTGGATAAATTGGAAGACTTCGATGAAATGCTAGATTTGGTCAAAAAAATGGACAGTGTTTGTTTCTTCGTGAGATGTAAAGTTAAAACTGCCACATTGGGTCAACAATGTCAATTTTGCAACAAACGATTTTGTATAAGCCATTCAATGCCAGAGATTCATGGTTGTGGAGACGCTGTAAGAGCATATGCTCGAAGTACTGTCCGTAAAGAAGGAAAATTATATCCAGGTTTAGGTATTCCCGATAAAAAACCTGATCCTGTGAAAAGACGCCAATTAGAGAGAAAATTCAATAAGAAACTTGAAGAAATGACTTCTAAAAGAAAGACTCAACCAAAAAAGGACTGAACTCATTCAAAGTGATTTCTGTATTCATTTTGGTTGTCATATAGATTACTACAGACTATTGTTAATGACAATCCGATTGATTGATCGTCCAAATTCTAGGTTTAATTATTCAAATTTGTATTGTTCTATATTAATACAAGATAAATGGATAAAAAATGTTGACTATACGATGATAGTTTTAAACTTTATTTCATTATTATTGTTTACATACATTTTATATTCATTTTACGATAAAATAACAATACATTTATCAATTTGCTAATAACATCGATAATGATTATTCATGGTAAACAAACACTTTTTGCCAGTGAAAATAACACCATTTTCAGCTGACAAATAGCTTCGATACGTGTAAATTTGATTTTACTTCATTTCTTCATCATCAAAGTATTTAATTTTAACTAAAATTCAGATAAATAAGTTCTCTATTTAAGTATTATTCAATCCATTCATGGATAACAATTTCAATTAAAATGATCATGAGTAAAAGAGTTGGTCAATATGATTGACAATTAAGAGGGTGAGAGGATCGAGTCAAGTTGGTGAAATCTTTTTGTGACCAGAAATTGAAACGTGCGTGTAGTGCGCATAAATTTCATCAAACGCAAATCTGGCATCAAATCTGGGAATAAAGTTTTACGCTCGTGTTCCCAGTCAAAATAAATTTGCAGCACATGCAAAATAGAGTGAGCGTTTCGCCAGCGTATGAAATTCAACCGCAAAATCTTTGTCTCTTTGCGTTTTTTGGCGTAAAACGCAATAACCAGCAACTGCGCAAGAGTAGCGATATTTTCCTCAACCTGATGTTTTAAAAATTATCAAAAAGTTTCAACATTGACCATCAGTTCAGTGGTAGAGAGTAGGGTGTGAAAGAAAAGAGGTTGAGGATCGATTAATTTTGTCATTTACATAGCCTGCATTTTTATACGAAAGTGTACAATTATTCACAGAATGCTGATGTTGGTGCCTTATTTGTCACTTTCGTTAAATGTGCGTTGGTCTGGCATGGTTGCTTACATTGACTGGGTTGACAGCGTCTTTATTTGGATCAATTGGGTACAAGACAAAAGTTTTGCCTTTTCCCACTGGAGGGGGCTAATTGAAAAATTGAATGGAGATGTTAAAATAAAATATTGTTAAATTAACCGCCGCAAAATAAAGCAATTTGATTGAAGTAAAAGGATTGTTGTTGTTTTTTTTTTGCAATTTATGCCCTCCGGTGGGATAATGCAGAACTTGCAGAACTTTTGCCTTTGGCTTCTTAATTGCTGTCTCTTTCTACTTTACTCTTTGGTTATACTTATTGTTAGTTTAAATTGGATTTAAAATGTCTCGATCTCGTGTAAATAACAATCTTGAATCATTCATCAAGTCACAACTGAGGTTAATTGAAATCGAGTATTCAGCTGAAATTAAACCAACTAAGTAAGTATATTATCTTTTGTTGATATTTCAAACTTAGATTCTTTTGACTCTGCTAACAGCCATTTTTTACTCAATTTGGCTGCCACCAATGACTAAGAATTAACATTATCAATCTATATTTATATTTCAGTGAATCTCAGAAAAATCTTAAATTGGTTAAAGTAGAGCGTCAAGGAGATAGCATTCACAATTTGAGATGTGTATCAATCTGCCCTGGTTTGTTTCGTTATCTTATGGTTTCCCTTGGTCATAATCTATCTGATCACCCATTACCATCTCATAAAATAACTGTTGGCGATAATGTTTCCTTACGTGAAAGGCCTGACTCAGAATCACTGGCTTCTGGTGTAGTTTACTCGCTCAATTCAAATCAAATAACAGTGGCATTTGAAAGAGATAGAAACCTCAGTTTGGATCAAGAATTCGCCAACTTTTGTTTGATCAAATCATCAAATGATGTTACCTATAAAAGATTGAAAAAAGCTCTTATCAATCTAAGAAATTATTCAATGAGAGGTCGTGCTCGACGATTGATAGATCTTTTGTTTGGAAAACGATCACCTGGTCGTCCAGTTGATATCGGCTCAATTGAATTTGTCAACAAGCAATTAGATTATTCTCAAAAAGAAGCTATTACTTTTGCGCTACGATCTAAAGAACTGTGCATCATTCACGGTCCTCCTGGAACTGGTAAAACAACAAGTATAGTTGAAGTAATTCTGCAGCTTGCCAAGCAAGGACTCAAAATTTTGGTTTGTGCCCCTTCTAATGTAGCTATTGATAATCTTGTCGAAAGATTATCTGCCTATAAAGTGCAAAATATGATTCGATTGGGTCATCCTGCTAGAGCTTCAAAGGATCTTCATAAATTCACTTTGGCTGCAGCTATAGCTCGTTCTGATGAGAACTCAATCATAGAAGGTATAAGACAAAAGATAGATGGTATACGAGGCCCAAGAGATCGTAATAAAAGAGCTCAAATTAAGCATCTAAGGAAAGATGTGAAACGACTGGAAAGTAAGATTATTAAAAAAGTTTTAATTAGCAGTGATATCGTATTGTCCACTTTGATCAGTGCCTCTAGTGATGGTCCTTTAAAACATATAGTTTACGATTCGCGTCATCAGCTTGATGTTTTAATTATTGATGAATGCTCACAAGCATTGGAAACGGCCTGTTGGATCCCCTTAACTTTTGTTGATAAATGTATCCTTGCTGGTGACCATTTTCAATTACCGCCTACAATTGTATCAGCAACTGCAGCAAAGGAAGGTCTCGAATTAACATTGATGGAAAGATTACTATCAAATTTTGACCATGAATTAGTTGTTCGCATGTTAACTGTGCAATATCGAATGCATCAAGATATTATGGAATGGTCTTCGAAAAGGTTCTATAAAAATAAATTGGTTGCTCATGAATCCGTCCAAAACCAATCAATGTCTAAAATAAGTAACCTTCAAGACTGTCCACCTTTACTTTTAATTGACACTGCTGGCTGTGATATGTCCGAGCTTGATGTAGAATATGATGAATCGAAAGGAAATGAATCTGAAGCTGATATTGCTGCTTATTATGTCTTGCATTTAATTAAAGCTGGAGTCAAACCAGAAAATATCGGAATCATTACCCCATACGCCTTACAGGTTGAATTAATTCGATTGCGATTAAATGGAAAATATCCAACCATTGAAATAAGATCCGTGGATGGTTTTCAAGGAAGTGAGAAAGAAGTTATCATTTTATCTCTAGTAAGATCCAATGTTAAGAAAAAGACAGGGTTTCTGTCTGAGTATCGACGAATGAATGTGGCCGTAACTCGAGCCAAAAAACATTTAGTTGTTATTTGTGATTCTGATACCGTCTCAGCTGAACCGCATATTTCATCTCTTATTACATATTTAAATGATAGAGGCAAAGTTAAATCAGCTCGTGAATATTTATCTTCTATAAAAATATTCAAAGATATTAAAAGACCTCCACACTTGCGCTTAAAAAAGCTTAAGAGAGATAAAAAAACGACAAAGAAAACTAGCGAAAGAAAAGCAAATAATAATAAGAAGAATATATCTTCCCCAGATAACCAGAAACCAGAAAAAAAGCCGATTGTTTCTCAAGACTCAAGATCAAAAGCTGATGAGGCCATAATCAGGAAGATAAGACAAAAATTGGTTGAATTTCAATCATCATCAGAGGTTAAGTTGACCTTTCCACCTACTCTGAGCTCATTTAAAAGACGAATAGTCCACGAGATTGCTGAAGAGCTTCAATTAAAGCATTTTACAGTAACAAGAGAAGGAGATAAAAGAACCATTCTAGTAATGAAACTAGTTCCCAAAAACAGTCCCACAATGTCATTAATAGCTGAACGTTCGGATCAAGAGAATCCTCAACAAATAGATGAAATGTGCCTTTCAACAGAAGTTGATACAAAAGTTGATCAAAGTTCAAACAATCTAGATGAACAGCAGTCGAAAAAGATTTCAAATGAACCAGCCAATCCAAACAAATCGACTGAACAGAAAACTGTCGAAGAACAACCTGTCGCTAAGCATGTGACTAATGTACAGGAAAAACCTCCGCCTGTTGATTCAACGAAAAATTTTGATCTCAACAGTAAATTGGATAAATTGAAAGAAGACTTCGACAAAATGTTAGATTTGGTCAAAAAAATGGACAGTGTTTGTCTTGAGAGTTAAAGTCAAAACTGCCACATTGGGTCAACAATGTCAATTTTGCAACAAACGATTTTGTATAAGACATTCCAGAGATTCATGGTTGTGGAGACGCTGTAAGAGCATATGCTCGAAGTATTGTCCGTAAAGAAGAAAAATTGTATCCAGCTTTAGCCATTCTCGAAAAAAAATCTGGTCCTGTCAAAAGACGCTATGATCTCAGCTCATGATTGTTTTAAACTTTATTTCTTTATTATTGTTCACATACATTTTATATTCATTTTACGATAAAATAACAATACATTTATCAATTTGCTAATAACATCGATAATGATTATTCATGGTAAACAAACACTTTTTGCCAGTGAAAATAACACCATTTTCAGCTGACAAATAGCTTTGATAAGTGTAAATTTGATTTTACTTCATTTCTTCATCATCAAAGTATTCAATTTTAACTAAAATTCAGATAAATTAGTTCTCTATTTAAGTATTATTTAATCCATTCATGGATAACAATTTCAATTACAGTAAAATTACACTTAACCGATATTTTTGGAGATACTCCATCTATTGGAATAATTAATACTTTTTTCTTTGTTTAATAGTTTTCTCTTTCTTTTTGTCTTTTTTTGTGAGTCGTTCTGATTGGACAAAATTAAAATTAAAGTGAGAAAGAGAAATATAAGAGAAAAGTTTTAATTATTCCAATAGATGGAGTATTTCCAAAAATATCGGTTAAGTGTAATTTTACTGTATATTGATCATATTTTTTTTGAGTGAAATATTCAAATGGTTGAATCCCGTTTGATATTTTGATCAAAGCAAAATCATGATCAGTTGATGTTACACTGACTGTGTAAATTATTAACCAATTGGTTGATGAAAAAGGTGGATGTTAAATCAGTTAGTAGCAGTAAAATTGATACTAAAAATAAGATGATTTAAAAAATTACTCATAACATGTTTTAGTCAACATTTGTCAGCTACAGTAAAAGTTATGAAGATGAGAATCTTTGAAATTCTGGAGATTAACCGTGAAGTCCAATTTCAGCGTTTTCACTCTTTTCTAATAATCAACAATTTCTAGGTTAACTGTTCAACAGTTCAAATCAAAGTTCAACCAGATTAAACTAATATTGAACTCAACCTTAAAGTGATCAATTAGATCCCATTATCTCAGCTTTTACTGTAATTGAAAATAATTGATCACATTACATAAAACTAAATCCGGATTAAATTCGGATTATTAAATGTTCAACTTGACCATCAGTCAAGTATTGAATAATAATGAAAGTAGATAAGTTGATTTCAAAAAAAAAACAAAAACAATCAAAATTCAAAAAGGAATCAACAGGAAAATAAAAATACAACAGTGGGAATAGGAAGAGATATTAATCAACGAACGATTGTTACAACAATCATCCGCAAATCAGTAAAAAATAATTTATACTCTTGATCGAGTTAACAGTTGATTAGGTATCCATTTGCAGTGTTGGGTAATTAAAACCTTATTACTTGTATAAGTGGTTCAAATATGCGTCCTAATATAATTTAGTATCATTTATCAATCAATAACTGATTGGTTGTGAGTAAATAGGAAAAGACTGAATGGAATGGCATTTTGGAAGAAGTTAATTAGTTAATGATTGACTAATTTGTCACTTTGGTCAAGGACTATTGTGCATGTGGAAGGGCAAGGAAAAATAGGTGAACAAAAAGACGGAAAGAACAACAATTAAGGCCAAAGTTGTACGAAGTATTATCTTTTGGGTTAAAGTTTGACGAAGTGAAGCAACACCAGAATGTGATTCAAAGGCATCAGCAACGGACGATTTAAGACCAACTCCTTCGGGATCTTTTGATTTGGATGTTGATTGTTCTGTGTCTTCATAGCCACAGAACCAAATGAAAAACTTTTTACACAAGGAAACCTTTTTATCCTTGATCATAACATCATCAGCTTCTTCACCTTCCTCCAAATCAACATCGCATTTATCATCTTCCTCATGCCAATCCATGTCCGTTAACTCCATTGTTTTAGCTGGAACTGGTTTAACTTCGTCATCACGGATACTCTCATCGAATCGAGTCCAATATGTAGTTCTGATGAGCTGTTAAAAGAAGAAAAACAATCAATTAAATCTGTTTTTAATATATAAATGAGATCTTGTTGAACATGAGATTACACATCAATCAGGTCAAAGATTTTTCTTGTATAATCTATTAGCAAACATTACGAGTTGAATAATTGTCATTTTTTGATCTGAAAAAATTAGAGTTAATCTGCAAAATCAAATAATTTCATAATGATCAACATAGAGAATGTAAAAGGTTATTCAATATCTGTTATATAATGCTTAGATTAATGATCTATTATGAACTATTTGATTCTTAATGTGAGCTCTTTGAACTTAAATCTGATATCAGATTTTCAATAATTCAGTGTAAAATGTTGATTCAATTCATAAAGAAACTTGAAGGATATGAAATCTGTTACATACCCTGAAATTTTCAGTTGGCTTTGTGATTAAAGAAACAAAGACTGACGTAATCACAGAGATTATTGTTAAAATGAGTGCAAAATACATGTAATGAATATCTTTGATAAAACTTGGTCGGAGATCTGGTTCACCACAAGGAGGTTCACGATAAATAATGTCCAAAATAAATCTAACAGAGCCAATAACAAGACCAATAATTAGAGTCCAAAATGCTGCAGGTTCATTCATTCTAGGCCAAATAACTGAAAGTCCATAAACCGTGGCAATAGGAGGAGATAAGATTGATGAGATTGCTTGTATGTAAATATAAAGTTCACCGCTTTGCATTTCTTGAATGACCACAATCCATGCGATACTAAAAGCAATCATGGCAAAAGTGAATGATCTGTTAACGAAACAATTAAAGAGTAGATTAAAAACACTTAAAAATGTCATCTATAAATTTACCAAAATTAGACAATTATCTGACTTAAAAGAAAGGTTTTGCTATTCATCTGATTATGTACCTTCCTACGATCATTTGTTCCCTCACTGAAGCTTTTGGTCGTATCAGAGGCCATATATCGATGGTGAACATTGTACTACAGCTGTTGAAAATCGATGACAATCCAGACATGAGAGCAGCCAACATTCCAGCCATCATCAAGCCTTTGAGTCCACTGGGCATCAGAGCGAGCACAAGTCGTGGGTAAGCAATGTTAGAGCAGCCGGTATAACTTTGACAGACTCTGTAACATTCAACTGGATCGACACAGCTTACATCATCAGGAAACAATATTCTTGAGATCATTCCGGGAATGATTATGATGAAAAGAGGCATCAATTTCAAGAAGCCTGCAAGCAATGTGCCTCCTTGTGCATGGGCTAGATTTTTGGCAGCTAATAAGCGTTGGACAATAACCTGTGATTAAAGGAAGAATGATTATTATTATCTCTATAAGAAAAGTCATTGCTTATCTCAAAAGGCTGACTAAATTGCTTTGATCAGAAGAGAAAAAGGAAGTCACAAAATTGAATGGTTGATTATAAATCAATGTTTTCCGCTTTCATAGGATTTCCTTTATTCTGGGCCAACTCATACTGAATTAAACATTATCGAGATCACAATCGGTTGAACACTAAGTATTCATTTACACAAACAATTCTTACACATGAAAAAAAATAAAACAGATACAAAAGGATGTGGTTAATCATAAAGGCCTGTATTTCAAAGGCTGCAGATATCTGATCGCATTTACTTCATGCAAACTGAGAAAAGAAGCTGAAATAGTAATTGATGAGCCTAAACGAACCTCGATTGACTATCAAGCTCGATGAATGTAAATGTAAAACTTAGACTTGTACGTTGAATCTGTTAATAACTTATACCTCTGTAAGTTATAACCTGTATCCATGAATAGAGAGATTCCAGGTGCAAGAAAAATGTCTTTTTAATTAACAAGACTATGGACTCTAACTGTCTTGGACTTGAGCTATGTTCAAGATATTTTTAATAAAGACTAAGTGATTTATCATGATGAACATGATTCTTCATGATATTAATAGACTAGAGGTTTCTCCATGCGTGTAAAGGGTAAATGTGTTTTTTAGCTACTGGAACTTTCTACCACTCAATAGATTGACAAGCAAATAAAGAAAAAAAATCATAAATTTAACTAATGGTAAATCGTGATGATTAGCTAAAGTCCATTATTTCACCTGAATTTTCAAACAAACTGTCAAATATCCAAACGAGTTTTAACATGAAATAAAAAGATGTAGATTCAACTGCAACAAATCAGGTGGATATTTGAAAAGAACCAAAATTTTCTATAATTAGCTTTCCTTTACGAGGTTGAATTTAAACATTGGGTTTACCTGGTCAGTACACCAATACCACATTGATGCAAAGGTTTGTCCAGCTAAAAAGCCTAACCAGGGCATATCATGGTCATCAATTGGCCTCAATAACAGGAAAGCAGTGTCTTTAGGCATAGCACATGTTGTTGCGTTCACAGGAATGACTGACGGTTTGGCTTCAAAATAGCGTGGCTTTAAATTTCCAATTCCACCGATTTCATTTATAGCTAAAGGAAGAGTCAATAAATTAGCTATCAAACCTAATCACACATGAATAATTAAAATGGTTGCCATTACCTTTGTAGGTTAATAGGATTCCTCCGGCCAACATAACAAAACATTGTATTGTATCAGTATACATCACAGATGCTAATCCTCCTAAAATTACATTTAATACAGAGAGTATGATCAATACTTATTCCAGGAAGAATAAACTTAATGTTTATTTGATCAGTTATTAATCGTAATAAACATGAATCAAATAAAAGGTAAATGACATGATTGACTTACCAGTTACCGTTGAAACCGCCGTTAGAGCCAGTAGAATTAAAACACTGACATAAATTGACCATCCTCGAGCTTGTTGGATAAAAATGGCACCAGAAAATAGATTAACCTAATAATTTGCGACTAATTTAAATTATTTATGATCACAATATAAATCCAAATATTATTCCCAAAACAACTCTAGACGATGATACAATTCAAACATAATACTTTCGATGTTCAATGGTCTCAGCTTATTTCATTCTATGTTGACACATGTGTTTAAATCTGGTGTTTTTAAATTCAATGCATTAACTAGCTAATCAATAATGATAAAACTGCAATTTATTTCACAAATAAGACGAAGTTTCATTTTTCAGATTAATCACTCGTTTCTACCTCAAAATTACAAATGTCAATTTATAGCGACCCCTCACTTTTGAATTAACGGTTGGAGTTAAGCAAAATAATTATGCAAAATATCTATTAAAATTGTTGAATTTTAATTTTTTTACAGTGGAATTATGTCTAATTATTTTCAATTAACATTCTCGGTGTAAATAGTTCATCTATGTTATATAGTGACCCTTTATGCTATTGTGTACCTTCCTCTACGATCCAAATGTAAACTTACTCTCTACTCAGGTGATGTTTTGAATTCATCACAAATCGTTGATCAGTGACATTAAGGTTGGTTGTTTTTAATTAAAAACTGTATTATTAATATGATTTCATTAACTTTTTTTTCAATATCAAAGTCAAGTGTCAAGATCTAAATGTCAAGTGTAACGAAAAATGGTCTGATTATCTTCCGCAAATGATCTAATTATTCAAGTGTAAGTCTATTCATTCTTTCCTTTAGAAAAGTTATTTGCACTAAACCAAATTAATTTCAACTTTTTTGTCTTATATTGTTAGGATATATTTCATTTTGAAGATAAATAAAGCTTTTTAGTCAAAGAAAATGATTAACTTACCGAGATCTTGGTGAAAACATATAACAGTAGTGAGAGAAGAGCTAAATATGTTTGTATTCTTTTGCCTCCGAAACGTTTAGACATAAACTCAGGTAAGGTGTAAACCTTTGGAAACAAAATGAAACATAGAATTAGTTTGATTACTTGAGGTTGCTAATATTTAAATTATTCAATTAAGCAGCAGCATTTATCTTTAATGCTAACCGTTGCCCTGCCTAAAAATGTGCGTCCTATCAGAATTAATTCTAATCCTCTCAGAGTTTTCATCTTGGTTTTAAAACTAAGCGAACAATTTCTCATTTCTTCCAATTTCTAGTTGTTTTATTTTAATCTATTAGTCATTGATTAGATTTTTCTAAATCTCAATACAACGAGGATATTCAATATAATATTGCATCCCATCTGACTTAATAACTAGATCATAAAAATCTATCTATAACTGTTTAATTTTGATCTACCAACTAAACCTAATATCTTCTGATAGTGACAATAGTCTGTTTATTTCTGATCTAACCTTTTTGTTTAATGTCAATATCTTTTCTTCTGCAGACTAAACATGACTTTTCGTTGAAAGTTCTGCTCATTTGGATGGTTGTTTGCTTATTGTTAAAAGACTAACCGTGATATAAGACAAACCCAAGTCCATAGTAAAACCTGATTTCAGTTGATTGCCAAGTTTTACTCCATGTCATACAGCTTTTGGAAAAAGGAAAAAACCTCATAGATTAACCATTCAATATGATTGGAACCAATTTCTAGTTCCAGATTAACCAAGGAAAATCGAAGGGTCAAGGTAGATATTAAATCAAAGCATTTCATTTCATTATTAATCTTTCTTACTTTCCATTCAAACATCATAACTCAATAACGAAAGCTTCTATTATCTATTATCTATTCTTTTTCCTATTCTCATTTCACATCATGATAATCGGATTTTCAGTCCATCTTACTGTCTTATTCCAGTCAGTTAAAGGTTATACATGTACTAAAAATATAATGATACTTTTGTCTCTAGTAAAATCTTTAAGATTGAAATACTGGCTATCTTGATGTGTACAAGAATTTTAAATATCTTCTCATAAAATCTAACTGATTTTCTTTGTCTTTCAGGATAAATTTTCTAATGCGCAAAAATGCTGAACACAATGTGAAAAGATATCAATAGATTGGAACTCATTGCATCTGGAAATGTCTAAATCTCTGAAAAAAACCTGGCAAATCTGATGAGACAAAATTACTATTTTCAAGACTTTTAAACTTCTGCTTCAAGAATTGGATGGTTCCTGATGCTAATCCTTTCAGCATTTTTTACTTATTTATAAAGAGATTAAAGGATTAATGAAATGGACCAGAATTGGAAAGTTTAATGGAATCACAATCTTCACTTTCATTCGTAATTCTCAATTGGTAATTTGATTCTACTCAATGGGTCCTTCAAAACAAGAGGTGATAATTATCGCAAAAATTTTATTCACTCAATCAAACTTTTTCTCATGACTACATCATTGATAGGAATAATAAACAGAAATTTATCTTATGGCTGAAGAGATTTAATTACAAGTCTATTGGCTAAAATTGTAACATGATAGTTAATTATGAGAAAAGTTTGATTGTGTGCTTTAATTGTCTCTATTTACTGCTTCTTGTAAGGATAAAATAATTTTAGACTTACATTACTTGCCAGGAAAACGGGCAAGAATAGCCATCCAGTTATTTGTAAGATTAGTAAGGCCTATTGAAAAATTGTAAAAGATATTAGTGTTAAATGATTGATGATTATCGATTTCTAGAATAATTAAATCTGTTGACAATTTAATGAATTGCCTGATTTTGTTTACTAGTCCAAAAATAGGCAAAATCGAGGTAAAGTCAATCAATTTATTGATTGCAGTAAAAGAGATAATTGAATGCGACTTTTAATAAGCTTTTGTTTTCTATTGATCCACCAATTTCTGGTTTATAAATATCTGATTGAAGCTGTTTGTGTTATTGAGTACCTTTTCATGTAACTTTAAGTTTACAATTTTACCTAAATTTGGGTTAAATCAACAGTTAAAGGTTAAAATAAAGTTCTGTACAAAACAGTGAGCTCCAAAAAATCATAAGCAGCGAGAGTTAATTAGGTTAACAAAAAATCTATTTTTCTCTGATCATCGCATTTATTTTACATCATATATCGATCATTTAGACATTATTTAATCACAATCCTTTAACTTAACTCTTTTAACTATGATTTAGACTTTCAATTCATATAAATTTTTTATGAAATGCTAAATTCATTCCAATATTCATTAATGCATTTATTTTCATTTCACGGATACTTACATTAAGCTCAAAAGCAGCTACACCGATTCCTGATGCAGCCCCTGATCCAGCTAATCCAATGAAATGTTCACTTCCAATGTTGCTGGCGAAAACTGAGGCTCCAACCTTAAATGATGAAGCAAATTTAAATTAATCAAATGGACAACTCACATTCAGGCTCAATGTTCAGCTTATAACACTTAATCGTACAAGATTTACTGGATAAACATGTCACAACCTTTATTACTCTCATTCTGCTGCTTCTTCATCAAATTGGAATGATAAGTCAATCCGAATAGTTTCATATCAGCGGATTATGCAGCTATAAATATGTTAATAATATTCATGGAAATATATTCATTTCTCTCTGTAACTGAACATTAACAAGCAGAATTGGTTGAACTGTTTGTTTCCATTCAAGCCTTATCTTTACTATCTAGACTTGTAGTACAAGATGTTTTTCTGGTAAATGAATAAATCGGTAAATCAAGAGTGAAACATTTACTTACTGTTAGCCAAGTCATATAACGTCCAGCTAAAAAGTAGCCATCAACTGTTCCTCGATTTTTCGTTTTCCACATGGACTTTCAGAAGGATTCCAAGAGAAAAAGGAAAAGAAAATGAAATAATTATTCTTCTGTTATTAACCTTAATGAGATGTCTCAACTAATCATCATAAGAACGTGATCTATTCAATATAAATCTGAAATGAGCGAAAAATCATCTAAATGATAATTTGAGCAAAAACAACTCCAATCGATATTTTGTATTCAAGTAGATTGACTAAACATTTTCATACTAAAAAGTAACCAAGAATTTGATGTTAATATTATTGTATGATCAGCATTTTCCATTCTGTTTATTCAATTCTATTTATTTCCTGAGAAGCAAAAAGATACAAAATAAAAGTTCAAGGTTGAGTTATCGATTATCAATAGAGTTGAATAAAAGGATGAATAAGATTTGTGATCAACTCTTTTGTTACCCTGAGAAACCTTTCTCATCTTACATCCATAATATCCTTTAAGGGTCAATTTACCCATTCAAGTTATTATCTTTAATGGCACAATTAAACGTTAAACACAATAAACATTTACAACTAATCAATCATTAGGAGCTAAACATTGAAATATATTGATTAAAGTAACACTTTAAAGTGTAGATTCAATTTACGATTCTGAAATCTCTGTAAATGTAAATCCAACCAAAACAGTTGGACTAAAGGTTCAATTTGAGTAGTACGAAAACATACGCTTCAACTCCACAGACCGGAAACGAATGTTTCCCTTCTGGAATTAACAAGTATAATCATTGCGGGTCAAATGTCAAAATTTGCTTTTACCACTTTTATGCTAATTCTCTCATTTTAGGTTTATTTCAAAGCTCAATTGTCTATCAACCTAATTATGCTTGATTTCTTCACCTGATTAAGTTTTATCATATGAGTTGAATGACTTGATTATTGAATTCATGTCTTCTTAAGCATGATGATTCAGTTTAAGCTGACAGATGAGGTGATTTATCACATTTACTATTTTCAAACATGAGAATTAATTGATCAAATAATGAGTTTATATTGTTTGAAATGTAAAGTGATTAATGGAATTACTTTTTTACCAAATAAGGAGATTATTCATGAGCTGGTTTTTCTTTTTTCATGAATTGAGATTAATAGAATTACTTTTTTACCAAATAAGGAGATTATTCATAAGCTGGTTCTCCCTTTTCATGATGTTTGAAATGCAAAGTGATTCAGGGAATTACTTAACTTCCAAATAAGGAGATAGTTCATAAGCTGGTTTTTCCCTCTTCGTGAATTGTTAAGTGATTAATGAAATTATTTAGCTGCCAGGTGCACCCATTTATTTCAAAGTTGTTTGAGAGTCTTGTATTTAAGCTGAAACTTTTTTCAGAAAAGCATCAGTTATTTTCAAGAGTTTCAACGATAAACTTTCTTTCTTTTCCCTCTTTTAAAATCATATTTCGCCAATTCTTATCTGCTTTCATGATGGAAAACGGTAAGGATTCTTTTTCTTATTCGATGAATTGTTTTTAATCTAATTTTGTTTGCTTTTCTAAGGCAATACTTTGTCAATTCTAATTTGTTTCAATTTTTATTTATTTATCCTTTCTCAACCCACTTCTTCATGCCGATTACTGCATTTAGACTGCATTTCCCAGGATTTACATGTAAGCTACATGGTTCCAACCGAGTGTTTATACCGCTCCAAGTTGCACCAAGCTTTCCAAGGTTAAATCTGGGAATACCAAGGGCCCTTAACATATCTTCAGCCTCCTTGGATTTACAAGCAGCAAGAAAATGGTCGTCATCAAGATCACATTCATAAAAGGCAATGATTATATCATTGATACTTTGTATTTTGGCACCTTTGTCAACTTCAAAAGGTAAACCATGATGTTTGCGTGTTAGATACAGTGCCTGTCGCTGATCATTGGCAGATAGTTGATCCATTTTTAGCTCATGGTCAACACTAAATACACTTGCACCATGATCACTAAGGACAGCACATTCACGAGGATAAAATACATTGTTGGCGTAAAAGCCTTGAACATCAATATAGCAGCAAATGTAATCCATTTTCTTGTGAGCATTTTGAACTTTCTCTCTTCTATTTATACTCTCCGATTTCTCTCATCAGCAGAGTGAGTGATCGAAGGAGCGGGGGAAATTCAGCATGGACACCGCGCAAAGATTTCAAAAATTCTCCGTTGACTCTCAACATGAAGTCATTGCGAGTACAAGGTCCAGGGGGTAGAATCATTTCCCCGAAATTATTCATATATGTGTCAAAAATTTTTACACAATTTGTTTTTAGAAATTTGATAGCTTCGGCAGGAAGTTTATTGCCGGCAATTATTTCTTCTTCTTCTTTGAAGACATGGTCGATTGATTTTATTTCACTTTTCACTAAAGTGGAAAAGATGAAGGCATCTTCAATTGTTCGGGCTGGAGCAATTGGGCAGCAGACAAATTCTCGTGGTCTTAGTACACTGAGAATGAAATTCACACCACAGAGATAGATGTCAAGTGGAGCTATATCCTTCTCTCGGATACAAAGACGGTGATTACGCTTAATAAGCATGATTCCTCCGCTTGTTGATTCGATGGTCAACTCATCAACAACCTTTTGCGCGGGAGTGTTGCCTTTAAGCACTTCTTGAATGAAGATGTCAAGTTGAATTAACTCCCATCGCTTCATGTTGACACCGTAAGAAGTGGGATAATCCTTCACAAAAAGACGCAAGTCAGCACGACTGCAAACAATTTTGTCGTTGCCGTCTGTTGCCCATGATAGGGTTAGACGGAGATCGTTGATTTTCACAGCTTTCAAAGAGTGCCAGTTTAAAGTTGACATTATGATTTCAGTTACTTTACTGATCTTTTTTGATCAACATCATCTCTTTTTATACTTGTCTTCTTCTTAAACTCTCGATATGCATCACGGAGCTCATTATGCGTTTTTCCGCCGGTAACAATTAATTTTCCAGAAGCCTAATACACAACACAAAGGTTCTTATTCTTCCAGACATGAGCAGGGTAGATTTCCGGTTCGTAAGAAAGACCAATTAAATTGATTTTACCTCGGATATGTGCAACTGATGTCATATTCACAATTTTAACGAATTTTGCACTTGGAAAACGTGACTTTATGAATTTTTTCACTTCATTTAATCTTTTAAAACCTGTAGCAATTATTTTACCAGATTCAAAGAGCAATAAACAGTTACTTCCTTCTTTAATTAAATCAGCATTGAACTTGGTCATTCTTGCGGCTAAACGGATCTTTTTTCCAAGGTCCCATAGTGATACGATATTAACAATACGCATCTAGAACAATATAAAAGTATTCTTTGAATAATAAAACGATAATTAAAGCTAATATTAACATTAATACATAGACAATTGCATACATTGGTAATTACTGAAGCTTATTCCTTTGTACTTTACTATTTATACTTGTTAATTCCAGAAGGGAAACATTCGTTTCCCTTCTTTCATTCAGGTTCAGCCTTGAACAATTAAAGAATCATTGAAGCATTTGAAACAATAGATACCGTAAGATGGTGTCAAACGGTCAAGTGCAAAAACTATCGAAGCATTTAAAACATTAATATCGAAAGACGGTGTCAAAAATCATTGAAGCATTAAAAACATTAATATCGAAAGACGGTGTCAAGGTCAGCCGTTAGGTCAGCCGAGCGTTAAGTCAGCCGAGCGTGAAATCAATCATGCGAAAGGGGGGAGGAGGTAATTCCGTTTCCGGTCTGTGGAGTTGAAGCGTATGTTTTCGTACTACTAATTTGAAATTGGTTATCATTAAACTTCATTTATCATTAATTACTCCTGAATACAATTTAATCTAAAGGTAAGCCTGACAAAAATAGACATTTGAATGCAAGGAAAATATGAAAACAGTTCAGTTGTCTTACTAATTTGTTAATTGTTGCCTTAGTTCATTGAATTTGAAGCGAAAAATGATTGAAACTCAATGTTGTTTATGAAAATTGAAGTTAATTTTCTGATATTGATTTTAGCATTAGTCTATTTTTATCCTTCAACACATCACAATCAATCATGTCCAGAGGTTGAATGGTTGAATCCGTGTTGAAAAGGTTTCAGGGTTGATTTAGGTGATCAACAACCAATCTAAACTATCTTAACCAATCATAAAAAATCCCAAAACCAAGCTATTGTTTCATGTCAATTTTGATTCCAACTATTTGAGCTTGATTAAGCCTCGGCTGTCAAAGCTTCAGTTTTAAATTTCATTGTTGACTTGAAAGACAAATTGGATAAAATTCTGGTTTAAAAATCAGTTGGGAGTGATATTAATTGAAATGGATTTCACTGATTTTGAGTTTATTTTGAAATTTTGTTGCACCCAAGAGTACACTCAATACAGCTTTTGATCAATTTATTCTGATACGGTTATCATTGTTCACTGGATTCAGTCAATAATCAAAATACTCTTGGTTTAATTTCAATAAAAGCTGAAGATTACTTCATTTTCAATCATCGAAACATTTCAAGCATTTTATACATCATTCTGGAGTCTATAAATTTTATAACAAATTCAATTTCATATTTTGTCTGACTTGTAAGCAAAATCAATTCACTTAAAAGGCAATTTCGAGCTTCTTTCAGTTCATGTTAAATCATTAAACAAGGTAAAACAGAAATGTATCAAATGTCAGATTTTTCATGAAAGTGGATCCACTGAGATACAATATTGGAACTCAGCATGAGTCGAGGATAAATAATTAAGCTAAAAGTGTTTTACCAGTTATAATGTAACGTAAAGTAAAATGTCAAATTGGGTGAAGAGCATTAAAATTTCAACTCAAATTGTCACTCTTTTAGCTTTTACAGCCTAACCTTTGTAGATTGGTGATGATAGTCAAAAGGTCTGTTTTAATTGATTAAATAACAATTACAATCGATAAATTTGATCTATTTAAAACAATTCTGTTTAAAATAATCAAATTTACCTAATTATGCCATGTCGAGAAGACAATGATTGATGTCAGTTTGAAGCTTGAGCTACCATTTGAATGGCAAAAATGGGTTAATGCTCTTCAACAGTAAATTACTGTTAAATGAGTTTATATTTAAACACTATTAGAACTGTAATGAAATCAATTTAAATTGGTTACTTACCCAAAAACCAGTTGCCAGAATGAGCAAGAAGTAAGCGACAACAACAGCGATATCAAGACTTTCCAAACCTGGCCTGGGTTTATGTTCAGGTGCTGTTAACACTGTACTTGATTGATCCATGGTAATTAATTGTCTGGTTAAAATTAGGTTTTATTGGCAACTAATTGAGAATCAACTGATGATCTTTAATTGGTGTGTTGATAGATCAAATATATTGGTGTCAATTGTCAAGAAAGAGATTCAATTTAAAAGACTAAATGATAGGTTTACAGCTTTTATTGGTTTATAAACATTCCCTGTACATTTATCGATCAAGAAAAAAGCAGAAGCACAATACAACAGGTAAAACCTTTTTGTTTGTTATAATGGTGATGTATTTTTGCTTATGTATCTTTTAACTTGTTGTTACATGTTGGTAATATACAAATATACAATGAACAATTGGAAGAAGAAGCTAACATGACTAGTCTTTTATATCTTGAAAACCATGATTTAATAAAATGTAAGGAGCTGGGAATGATTTGACTCAAAACTTCTGAGCATTCCTAATACTCCTTGTCAAAAAAACATATAAATTTATCAACTGTTAACTCCATCTATTGCCTTATAATGGATGGATAATGAAAAGAAGATCGAAATGAAATCTCTTTGAAGTCTATTCTGATTGCTAAATTGGTACATAGTATTGAAATTAATCTTGATGAGACACGGATAATTCAATAAATAAATCGAGTAATGCTTCCAAAAATGTAGGTTAACAAGTGCTTAAGCATTTGGCATTTTTTGAGTAGCCATCGATGGTACGAAATCATTTGTGGTCAGTGGTTGATGATTGTTGCATGGAAAGAGATATTGCTTGAAAAAACTGGTTAATTGAAGGTTGAATTACATCCATTTTCTGGTTTGGTATTCCGTTGGAAACAATTCAGTTTGGTTTGTTGTGGTTTTAGTGAATTACGGTCAGTGAAATGGTATTGTTATTAACATCGACTTGCTTTTGTTTTCGTTCTTCCCGTTTTTTGATTACTGCTGCTATGTCATTGACAAGGAAATTAATCGCTGGAATGAGTGCGAGTAATGCGGCAATGTTATAAATTAGTCCTGGATGGAAGTCTATTGTGGCACTATAGACATGAGTGTAAATGTAGGCCGCTGCAATTGAGGCATATGAATTGGCGGATGAGATTATGGCGAAAATTTTGGCAGTTTCTTCTGGATCGACTATTTGGGAAACAAGAGCTCGGTTGGCAATAGAAGCTAATGAGCCAAGGCCTCCAAAAGAGTAGGCCATTGCAAATCCAACATCATTAGTAACAATTCCTTTGATTCCACTCATAGAAATGACTGAGAGTGCACCAATTAAACCAACGGCTGAGTCCCTAACCGACATACATTTAAGTAGTTGAGGCACAATAACACTCAACAAAGCAGGCACGATATTGAAGTAAGTCGATAGCGTCGTGAACTTTTCAGCACTCCAACCATACACTTTCTGAGAAAATTGGAAGCTTATTGTATTATCGCCTCCCATTACACTCCAAATGATAAGTCCACTTATTACTGCCATTATTAATTTGGTTTTGTCTCGTCCTGATCTTTTAACTGTCAATGGTTTAGCTAGCTCCTTAAATCTTGACAGTTGAAAAACGTCTTTAACGACTTCTCTGTGACTTCGATTAGCCAAATGTTCAGCAGTATCGGGAACACCTTCAAGAGTTACAAACAAACCCCAAATGAATGCGATAACCAACAAAGCCAATGAAACAAACAAAACTCCTAAATAGTTTTCGGGTTGACCGTGAATCCAGGGTTTCATTGCTAGGACTTTTCCACCAAAATATGTACCACAAAGTACTCCTGTAATCAAAGTAGAGTTGCAATGTTTAACATTTACTTTTGTTTGTGATTCTCTTTTGTACTACTCATGAAATTATTAAGATACAATTGAGGTAATCTATGTGTCATTAAAAGCTTACTTTCACTGATTTATGCAAAAATTTCAAGGGAAATTCTGTTAGGAAATTCCAAATCAGTTATCGGTATTAATCGTTATCAAAGGAAAATTTTTCATGCTCATGAAGTAAATTTTAGCCTTAGTTTTGATCTTTAGATGAATTTGTTACTTACCAGTACTGGTGAATAACTCCATCAAAGCAAATCTCACAACCAGAAACCTAGTTGGAGTTGACCAGGAAACGTAAGTGTAAAATGAACTGGTTAACAGAGTAATGCTTCCAGAGAAACCAGAAGGTACACTAGCTAAAAGGATGGCCCACGAAGCTGTTTAAAAAGGAACATTTAAATATGATTTTAATATGTGTGAATTGCTTAAATCAATGTTTTCATTCAAAAAAGTTGAAATTAAACTTGCGCTAAGCTTGGACGAGATGATAAGCCAAAAAAAGATACATAACATTGCTAATTGCATTGAAACCCAATAATAACTTACATTTCTTATACACAGTTCAATAAGTTATAACATTTTGATTAAGTTTTCGGATTGTTATTCTAATATAACCAACTTGAACTAGTCGAAAAGATGAAAAAGATCAGTTTATGACGGTATAATGTCTCAATATAATTCAAGCTTTATTCATTCGATTTGCAAATTGTTTAAATCTGAGAGACCTAAAACTAATCCAACAAAGATAGAGACTGTAGCGACAATATACAAGTAGTTAAAATTAGCTTTCAAATATTGAAAACGGTACAAAACTTTCAAAAATATTAACCATTTAAAGGCAATTATTGTATTGTACGATTTTTGTTTGTACTTACAGACTTTGAAGAGAAAAGCATTGGCCAAGAGAATCGAGATCGAAAGAATGGCGCCCAGATTCGGTAGAAGCATGATTGCCTTCAAGTAATGAGGATACTTTTCAAGCCAATAGCTAAGGAATAGAGCGACAATTGTGGATGGAACCGTTTCGATTGCAGTTTGCCAGTTTTTCAGTGAATTTGCATGAACCAATATTGATGTACTTGTGGTCTCCGCGTTTTCACTGTGATTTGAATTCAGGGTTAAACAATACTCTTTGGGAAAATGAAGTTGATTGATGCACATCTTGTCCTCTGCTAATTGAGTTATGGTAACACCTTGCATAACAATAGCAAAGACTTGCAAGAAAAGGTATGGGTCAAGTTTGGTCAATTTCAAAAAGCTAATGAAAACTTGACCTCCTGTCAGATCTTTGGCGAAATCTTGGGTCATTTTAACTCACTTGTGTTTAAAACGAGTGTATGACGAGAAACGACTTAACAAGAAAACTAAAACAGAGTCAAACTCACATAATCAAAGCTGATCTGAGCGTTAATTTGCTTTATAATAAAACAATTGATTATCTAACGCTTAAATAGCTATAATAGTGAGCAACAATAATAACTAATTTTAAGCATCTTTTCATCATTGCACTGATTGTTGTTATAGAGACTTTCATCTGAATTAATCTTAATCCTGGTTGCCTTGATGCTGGTTACATAAAAGAATGTTTATTAATCCAGTTGGAATTAGTGATAAACCCATTGAAACTTCATTTGCGAATTTGATTTACACTATTCCATTGTATGTTTCATCACCACATCCACGAAATCATCATCTTTAAGACCCCCAACACTCAAATCCTGCGATTGTTTCTGGTTAATTTCCCTTTGCAATAACTTATCTTTTCGTGTTGTTTCATATTTTCTTGCTTATTTTCATAAATTATTTTGAATTTTTTATAGAGGAAAGGAGACATTTGCATTATGATTAAGAAACAAAAATAAATCTGAAGATTGAACCGTTCATCTTTGTATTGAAATTTCCTCAAGAAAACTCGTAATATGAAGTGTCCAATTACTGCACTGGGTCCATTGATATCAAACAGAAAAGATATAATTCTAAGAGAAGGGATTTTCATATCAAATTAACGTTTCTAAATAATACTTTCGAGCAATAACGTCGATGCCAATCAAGATTTTCAGTGCAACAATAAGACCGTAATCCGTAAATTGTCATGCTATCGGGAAATTGCTTCATTTTATATTATTGATATTACATTTTGCACACAGTGATCCATAATGAACTGACTGGCTATTCGTAGTCTAGTAACTTTTCAATGAACTAGCATACATATTTCAAACTAACCTGAAAATATAAATCAAAGTCTATTTATTAAATGATATTATGCTTTAAAGATTTCCTTTCCTACAAGATGCTACTTTGAAGTGTTCTTTCAAAATTCCCATTATTTCCTACAAATGACTGAAATATCTAGGATTTTGCTTATTTCTGCCAATCGATGCAAATTTCTTGCCGATTAATTGTTTATCATTATATGTTTTTGCAGAGGTGCAGCACTGAAAAGCAATCAGTATTATTTGTTGCTACTTTTTAATATGAAACTATCATCGCGAGGATCATATATTCACATTGATGAATGGTTGCTCTTTAATGCTACCCAGAACCAGAACACGAGTAACTAATATCATGGCAATCATGTAAAAAGGTTAGCGCAAAATCTTTGAATTGATCATGATTTAATTTCAATTTTCACTTTCTCTCCAAGAAAACTTGCAAACGGAATTCCGAAGTATTAGATGGACTCATAGTTTAGTTAAATCTTGGATAATACTTTATTTAACAACAAATGTAATGATAATATCTATGAAATTTAAATTTACAAGTATTAGGTAGGTCAAGCATGCGTAGGTCTGACATTGAAGGAGTTAATTTAGATAACTTTTCATTGTAAATGTGATTTGCAGGTCTTAATATATTACTATAAACGAAGGAGCTATGGTTGTATCTCCACTCTGTAGCAGGCCACAGTCTTTGAACCGAAAAACCGGTTTTTGGCTGCCTTTAGCACATTGATCGATTCCTGTCTCATTTCACGGTCATACTGACTACAATTTTCTATCAAAAATAAGTCTAAGGGAACAAATCTACCTGTTTATGGATGAAAAATGCTTTGAATTCAGACTAATTCTTAAATATGATATCGTGTTGTAACGGTATCATGAAAGCCGAGATGACGTGCTTGTTAGGCAGTTATTGCAGCTCGATTTTCAATACCTAAAAGACCAATTGATATGTAATGCGGCGTAACTATAGAAACGATGAACCTTGCCGTTCATAAATCCAGGCTTATCAGTTAGTTTCGCTGAATGAAAGTTGTCTCAGGTAAATGAAAACACAAGGCGACACAAAAAAACTCATTTTCGATTTTCGGGTCATTTTTCTAGAGACACATGGCTGCACTGTAGTTCCTTTCTCTGACGATTCATAGTTCATCCATCTAGAAATCTTGTCATGAAAGCATTTAGCGTTTCATCAAGCATGGCTCTGATAGTCCTCTTTTGTTCAAGACAACCCTTTTTTGCAAAATCACATTTTGATGCAAGAAATCATGAACGATTTCGAATAACTTTGTTACTAGTTCGTTTATAACGATAAAAGTCAATAACTATGATGTTTCGACTACTCTCTTTCTTTTAAAAAAATTTCGATCTTTCTGTGATCACGGCCTCTAGGTCAAACCTACGCATGCTTGACCCACCTAATATAATTAATAATAGACGGACTCGTCCAGCATTGGGTCGTATCTTGAAAAAGGGTGCAATCGCACGCGAAAATTTCAGTCTAGCATTTTCAGGTGTTACAGCGGGCATGTTTTTAAGTCGGCAAACACTTATAAGCAACGGTTTTGTCAACAGAAGGATTTCTTTGACGATTCCTCTGATCACCTCATTGAAATGATTGAGAGTGCAAAATGTAAAATATATTGTGGGCCAAACAATCAATCTTCAATCGGCTTTCAATCGAGATACTTTGAACCCGTCAGCAATCACATGCCCAATTTTTGTCTAGCATTTTCAGTTGTTACTACAAACATGAGTAAACATGTTTTCATCCATTTAACAGTCCAATAGAATTACTTGCTTGACCGTCAACTCATGGCTTCATTACCAGAATCTATCCACTGATATATTTACCAATAAAAACGGCTATTTAAAGAACATAGAATAAGCAAATTAGTAAATTTATTCAAGTAAAATATTAACGATTAACTTACCGCTCATACTGACAGACTTCATAATAGCAAATTTAACGATTAATTAACTGGCATTAATGGACAGGAAATTTCTTTAAAATATCTCCAGATATAAAAACTGTTTTCATTATGCTTTTGAATGGTTAATGATACCAGGAAATTGGCAAGTTGGTCCAATGGCTTACTAGTGACAATTTTTGTTAACTTAAGCACGAACTTGAATTGAATCCATTTTCTGGTTTGGCTATTGCGTCGGAAACATTTCAGTTTGGTTTTTTGTGCTTTTAGGAAATTACGGCTAATGAAATGGTATTGTTATTAACATCGACTTGCTTCTGTTTTCGTTCTTCCCGTTTTCTTATTACTGCTGCTATGTCATTGACAAGGAAATTAATTGCTGGAATGAGTGCGAGTAATGCGGCAATATTATAAATTAGTCCTGGATGGAAGTCCATTGTGGCACTATAGACATGAGTGTAAATGTAGGCCGCTGCAATTGAGGCATATGAATTGGCGGATGAGATTATGGCGAAAATTTTGGCAGTTTCTTCTGGATCGACTATTTGGGAAACAAGAGCTCGGTTAGCAATAGAAGCTAATGAGCCAAGTCCACCAAAAGAATTAGCCAGTGCAAATCCAACATCATTAGTAACAATTCCTTTGATTCCACTCATTGAAATGACTGAAAGTGCACCAATTAAACCAACGGCTGAGTCCCTAACCGACATACATTTAAGTAGTTGAGGCACAATAACACTAAGTAGAGCAGGCAAAATATTGAAGTAAGTCGATAGCGTAGAGTACTTTTCAGCACTCCAACCATACACTTTCTGAGAAAATTGGAAACTTATCGTATAATCGCCTCCTATTATACTCCAAATGATAAGTCCACTTATTATTGCCATTATTAATTTGGTTTTGTCTCGTCCTGATCTTTTAACTGTCAATGGTTCAGCTAGCTCCTTAAATCTTGACAGTTGGAAAACGTCTTTAACGACTTCTCTGTGACTTCGACAAGCTAGATGTTCAGCAGTATCAGGAACACCTTCAAGAGTTACAAAAAAACCCCAAATGAATGCAGTAACCAACAAGGCTAGTGAAACAAACAAAACTCCTAAATAGTTTTCGGGTTGACCGTGAATCCAGGGTTTCATTGTTAGGACTTTTCCACTCAAATATGTACCACAAAGTGATCCTGCAAAAGTCGTGTAACATAGAGTTGGAATGTTTAACTTTTATTTGTGATTGTCAATTGCTGTTAATGAATTTGTTACTTACCAGTACTGATGAATAGTTCCAGCATAGCGAATCTCATAACCAGAAACCTAGTCGGAGTTGACCAGGAAACGTAAGTGTAAAATGAACTTGTTAACAGAGTAATGCTTCCAGAGAAACCAGAAGGTACACTAGCTAAAAGGATGGCCCACGAAGCTGTTTAAACAAAGATGGAGCTTGAAATATCATTTATGGCATTTATGTAATTACCACTAAACTCTATTGGCGAAAATTCTACACAATCTATTAAATTAATTTGTGTTCAATGTGTTCTTGTTAATGCAAAATGGTGTAACCAGCGTAAGCTAGAACTATTTAAACAAAGTTTAAGTTGAAGCTGTCGTGGAAATATCGTTAGTTTTCAAACATATCGAACGGTTATTCGCTGTGTTTCTCAATCAATTCATTTTGACTTGCGGAACTGAACAGTAAGTTTAAACTATTGCCGCATACTTAATATTTGTAAATTATTTTGTTGCAATAAATTGTTTATTGTTGTTACTTACAGACTTTGAAGAGAAAAGCATTGGACAAGAGAATCAAGATCGAAAGAATGGCACCCAGATTTGGTAAAAGCATGATTGCCTTCAAGTAATGAGGATACTTTTCAAGCCAATAGCTAAGGAACAGAGCGACTATTGAGGATGGAATCGTATCGATTGCAGTTTGCCAGTTCTTCAGTGAATTTGCATGAACCAATATTGATGTACTTGTGGTCTCCGCGTTTTCACTGTGATTTGAAGTCAGGGTTAAACAGTACTCTTTGGGAAAATGAAGTTGATTGATGCACATCTTGTCCTCTGCTAATTGAGTTATGGTAACGCCTTGCATAACAATAGCAAAGACTTGCAAGAAAAGGTATGGGTCAAGTTTGGTCAACTTCAAAAAGCTAATGAAAACTTGACCTCCCGTCAGATCTTTGGCGAAATCTTGGGTCATTTTAACTCACTTGTGTTTAAAACGAGTTTACGACGAGAAACGACTTAACAAGAAAACTAAAAAAGTCAAACTCACATAATCAAAGCTGATCTGAGCGTTAGTTTGCCGTTATAATAAAACAATTGATTATCTAACGCTTAAATAGCTATAATAGTGAGCAACTGATATTAACTAATTCAAGCATCTTTTCATCATTTCGCTGATTGTTGTTATAGAGACTTTCATCTGAAGCAAAATGCGAAATAATATTAATCCTGTTTACCTTGATGCTGGTTACGTAAATGAATGTTTATTAATCCATTTGGAATTAGTGATAAACCCATTGAAACTTCATTTGCGAATTTGATTTACACTATTCCATTGTATGTTTCATTGAAACATTTACGAAACCATCAGCTTTAAGACCCCCAACACTCAAATCCTGCGATTGTTTTGGATGCGATTGCTTTTATTTTCTGGTTAATTTTCATCGGGTATTTTGAGTTTTCTTTCAGAGGAAAAGCTAGATATCAATTTTTAATCATGATTAAGCATCAGGTATAAATTCTGAAGATTGAATTTTTTTCTTCTTTTTTTTAAATTTCCTCATAGAAACTGATGATGTGATGCAGCAGATGAAGTGCAGATTACTGAACTCGACTTATTGATAAACTATAAAAATATAAAGATATAATTCCAAGAGAAAGGATTTCAAACCAAATTGATATTTCCCAATACTAGTTTGCTTCGTGTTTTCATGAAGCGTTGATACCAATCAAGATTTCCTGATTTACTGGCGCCAATAGTTGAGTTGCCATCTTATCATGAAATTGTTTCATCTTCTATTATTGTATACAATATAAAATAGCAGGGAAACTACTAGTCTTAAGTCTAGATAAAGAGACCGTAGTTATACACCTGACCTGAAACTAAATGGAAGATTAATTAGCTTAAAAAAAGCAATGATCAAGGATCAACAGAATATAAAAGTGCTGATTTTACTTCATTATTGTGTTATTGAAATTTTCTCAAAAATCATCAGAGCCAAACAAAATTGCGATAAGCCAAAGAAAAGTCCGAAGTAAAGTGAATTTTAGTTAATCATGAATATTTTATTTGACAACAAACGTAATGATAATACATGTTATATTATAATTTAATAACACAATATAATATTATAACATAATATAATAATGACATAAATATTCCTAATAGCTGATAATTAATTCTTGATCTTTATTAAAGATGGTGCTGTTAAATTTTTTATAAAAAGTTGACTTCGTTAGATGATTGACAAATTGTGTGAATGTACAATTGAGAAAAGTCCTAAACTATGACCTAAACTGAACTAAGTCCTTAATTTTCACCTTTGCAATTTAAAATAGCAAATACAATGAGATTAGAGCAGATTCTAAACACAAACTCACAAAGTTTGAAATTTTATGATGAAGATTTATTCGAATCATTAGCGATTGAAATTATCTCCATTTTTACCCAACCTACTTTAGGTGAGTGAAGATTGGTATTAGTTGCATTATTTGGAAGTGATTTTTCTCCATAAATATTGTCTTTCTCGGTCGATACTTTGGGTTCCCATTTGGATCGAGTAACTTCAAGCCAAACACAAGTGGCAACCGGAATGATTAAAATGATTGCCGCAATAATGAATGTCAATCCCGGGTTACTTTTGATGGTCAAGCTAAGCGTTACCTTGTACATAAAGGCTGAAAACGAAGCACCATACGAGGCAAAGATGGTAATCATTGTGAATATTTTAGCGACTTCATTGGAATCAATCATGTTTGCAATCAAAGAAAAGAAGGCGGCAATTGAAATCCTATGAAGTGCACCAGCTATATATGTAAAGGTGAAACCATATGGAGTCAAGACGACTCCATGGATGAAGTTCATGGCGACAACAGAGAGAGACCCGAGAATTCCTATTATTGGATCAGACAAACCAAGACATGTTTTCAATACAAAAGGACCGAGGGAGGTTGCTAGAGCAGGAATAATCGATAACAGTGAATGCATCGTTGAATATTTTTGAGCTGACCAACCATAGATTAGCTCAGCGTACCGCAAGCCATACGTTTCTTTACCATGAAATGCACCTAAACATAGAATTCCTGATAATACAAGTAATAATAGACGAGCTCGTCCAGCATTGGGTCGTGTCTTGAAAAAGGGGGAAAACACATTCGAGAATTTATTTCTATACTTTTCAGATGTTGCTACGGGCATATTTTTCAGTTTGAAAATACTTGCAAGTAACATTGCTATCAACAGAAGGATTGTTGACAGACTTAGAAGCCCAATATAATTACGTGCTTGACCGCCAACCCACGGCTTCATCATCAGAACCTGTCTACTGATATATGTACCAATAAAGCCAGCTTTACAAAGGCAATGGAAAAAACAAGTTAGAATTTTATTCAAGCTGAATATTTACAATTAACTTACCGCTCATACTGACAAACTCCATAATAGCAAATCTAACGATTAACAGCTTCGGTGGAGTTGACCAGGCAACGTATGTATAACAAGCACCATAAATCAGGAACATTCCTCCTCCTAATGCAAATGGTACATAAGTGATTAAAATAAAATATGAACCTATTGTTAGAATAAGAAATTAAGAAATAATTAGAGTTTTATTACATCAACAAATCAACATAATTTAACGCTTATCAATCCATGTTAATAATTGTTCGTTTAATTTATGTGGAGTTTATGTTATCGGTTTTGATGATCTTCATGATGAATATTTGATATCAATAGATCAATTGGTATTAATAACTGTTAGGAAATGTAGGTGTTTAGGTTCAATTAAAGTCAAATCAGATTAGGTTGAATTTAATAACTTGTAGTTTACCAATTTTTTTATAAAAATGATGACATGGATTGTCTAAGGCAAAGGTTGTACAACTCAATGTACACTAGTTTCACGCATAAGTTAATTTTTAATAAGCGCCGTCCACTATATTACCAATGGTATTATTAAGCATCTTACTTATAGTAGATAGCGTTTATAAAAAAAAGATATCCGTGAAACTAGTGTAGTCGTTTAACTAACGCATGAAAAAGGGAATGACAAAGATACATACTGAGTGAAAATAGATATGCGTTTACAAGCAAAATAATCGATTGAAGTGTATTGGCGCATAAGGCTATTAAGACCATAAATTTGAGATGATGAGGATATTTATCCAGCCAACATCCTAAAAATGCGGCCACAATGGTTCCTGGTATGTCTGTGATGTAAAATTGCCAATATTTGATATAATAAGCATGAACAACAATCATGTAAGCGTTTTCTCCTGTACTGTGTTTCTCCGTCACACTTAAACAATATTTAGCTGGTAAATGCAAATCATTAATGCACTTTTTATCCTCAGCAAGTTGTACAACAGTAACATTTTGTAAATTATTGGCAATACCAAACAGTAATAGGCAAAGGTCAAGTTTCATTAGACCTACAAAATCAACAAAACGTCTCCAGGATGACATTTTTTTGGACGACATTTCCATTCTATGGATAACACAGCAGAAGAAGGAATTGATTGAAATACTTGGACCTTTTTTTTACTATGAATTGCGATTGTTGGTAAAAATTAGTCAGTTTTTTGTGGAGCACTTGAACAATTTAAATGAAAAGAAAGCAATTATTCCTCCATAACTTGTCAAATGTTGGAGTTTGGGTTGAGATTAAGTCAAAGTAAGGTTTTACGGACTAATGATGAGCTTCAAAACGAAATCACAACCTTCGCTTATTAATGGTAAAATTAATAATTAATAGACAGTTGAACAAACAAGTTTAATTGCTTTTTATCGGAAATTAATGATTAATCAGAATTTCTCTTCGCTTCTTCCAGTTCATGTGGATTTGCTCCAACATTGGACTTTTGTTGTTGAAAATTAGTTCAATCATCATTTTAAACCTTAGATTTAATTTTGAAAGATTAACCTGATTCGTTTACCCTTCTTAACCAGGTTAAACTCCACAGTCCGTAACCCTTACTCTTGTCGAACTAAATGCTAGTTACAACAAGACTCCGAACAATGAATTCGAACTCTCAGGATCATTCAGAGCCACATTCTGAGAGTACCGACCTTTTCCGATTGGATGGTATTTGTCACATTTTTATATTATAATTTATACAAAGATAAGCGGTAAAGCTCAAGAAAAATCGATCAACTGAACGATACGTAAGCACGAATATCTTTTGACCAATTTTTTGAATTTATATTTCATTGACTCTTGTTAACCAGTCAACTGGTTAACTGAAAATCCATGTTATAAGTTAATTTCAAGTGGAATCTGTTTGTTACTCAATTTATGGATAAACATTTTTAATGTTTACTAATCAAATGATTGTATTTACTGATTGCTTGTTAACATTTCCTACTGATTGTTGTTATATAATAACCCTGTGATAATCATCATGTATCAAGTATATTAATCTTGAAATGGTGAAATGCTTCAAGATTCAAGTTGACAATTGAAGATTACACTTTTTCATTTCATTACTTTAAAATGTTCACCAGCTTCAAATAATTCAAATTTTAACCATTTGATCGTTAATTCGGATTTGCGCAAATTGTTTTGAATAATCTCAATCTAAGAACTTTTTATCCGATAGAAACACTTGAATTTGTCTAAATTTCAATTTATAATAATTCTTTTCGATTTTACAGGACTCTTCATAAAACGATTTTCTTGTACCTTTTTACAAGCATTTTCGTGTTTTCTGATGTCGCAGAATGACAAACCGAGATGATAATACAAAAATTAATTCGATTGCATATTGAAGTTATTAGCATTTAATCGCCGTAAGGTGCAAACTTAATGGAAGCTTAAGCAATTAATATGCTGACTTAAAATTTCAATGCTCAACATAAACAATGTTGATTGGAATTGATATCAGCCAAGCAAACTTGCAAACAAAATTGCGATAAGCAATAGAAAAGTCCGAAGTAAAGTGACTTTGGGGTTTAGTTAATCATGGATAATATTTTATTTGACAACAAATGTAATGATAATATCTAAAATGTAAATTTGATGAAAAGATGTAATTACACAAAAAAAGTAAACTTAGACTAAGATTTTGGTCACAATATCGTAATAAAAAATATGTTCGCGTAAATATTCTTAACAAAAAAAATGATAAAAGTCAATTGATTAAAACTTGTCCGACACATTAGAAACATTCATAATGGTTAAATTTTTGATCTTCATCAAAGATGGTGTAGTAGGTGGGTGAAGATTGCCATTAGTTGTATTATCTGGAAGTGATTTTTGTCCATAAATATTGTCTTTCTCAGTTGATACTTTTGGTTCCCATTTGGATCGAGTAACTTCAAGCCAAACACAAGTGGCAACTGGAATGGTCAATATGATTGCCGCAATAATGAATGTCAATCCTGGGTTATTTTGAATGGTGGCATTGAAAGTTCGTGTGTACAAAAAGGCTGAACCCAAAGCCCCATACGAGTCAAAGACAGTGATCAATGTGAATATTTTAGCAGCTTCATTGGAATCAACCATGGTTGATATCAATGAACGGAAGGCGACAAATGAAATCCTGTGAAGTGCACCAGCAATATATGTAAAGATGAAACCATATGGAGTCAAGACGACTCCATGGATGAGATTCATGGCGAAAACAGAGACAGTCCCGAGAATTCCTATTATGGAGTCAGACAAACCTAGACAGGTTTTCAATACATGAGGTCCGAGAGAGGTTGCTAGAGCAGGAATAATCGATAACAGTGAATAGAGTGTTGAATACTTTTCAGCTGACCAACCATATACTCGCTGAGCGTATTGATAGCCAATCGTTTCTTCACCATGAAATGCACCTAAACATAGGGTTCCTGATAGTACAAGTAATAATAAACGAACTCGTCCAGCATTGGGTCTTCTCTTGAAAAAGGCGGCAAACAAATCTTTCAATCGAGATACTTTGAACACGTCAACAATCACATGTCCCAATTTACGTTTAGCATTTTCAGGTGTTGCTACAGGCATGTTTTTCAGTTTGAAAACACTGGCAAGCAATAGTGTTGTGAACAGAAGGATTGTTGATAGACTAAGAACTCCAATATAATTACGTGCTTGACCGTCAACCCATGGCTTCATTATCAGAATCTGTCCACTGATATATGTACCAATAAAACCGGCTATTCAAAGACAATAGAAGAAGCAAATTAGTAAATTTATTCAAGTAAAATATTTACAATTAACTTACCGCTCATACTGACAAACTCCATAATAGCAAACCTAACGATTAACAGCTCAGGTGGAGTTGACCAGGCAACGTATGTATAACAAGCACCATAGATCAGAAACATTCCTCCTCCTAATGCAAATGGTACATAAGCGAATAAAATTGCATATGAACCTGTTGATAGGATATGAAATTAAGAAATGATTAGAATTTTATTACATCAACAAATCAACATAATTTACTGCTTCTCAATCAATGTTAATAAATTGTTTGTCGAATGGACGATGCTAACTATAACTTATAAATTGTTATTTTCAATGAAAATTTAATAAACATAAGAAAGGTTCAAAATGTTAAGTTTTTATTTGCACGATTCGCCATATTATTTGATATCAATCAGTTAAAAATTGTTAGAAATTCAGTTGTTTCAAATCAACTATTATAAATTCAAAATTAGATCAGGCTAAATTTACTAATTTGTTAATAAAAATGATCAGTTATTTGAAAGGTGACATGGATTGTAAACGATTAACATTGTTAGTTGTCATACAGTTTACATGCATAAAGTTAATACGAAACTATCTGTTACTTATTTTTCTGAATTTAGATTATTTATTACCATTGGAATGGTTTCATACTTGATCTTAGAAGTGAAGAGGCTCACAAAGATCAGATTCATCATTAAAGGAAATTACCATCGAACGCAACTATCTCAATATGAAACATCTAATCATTATTAACTATTATAATTGCAGTCAGGAACACGTTGCTCATCTTTTAGGAGATACATTTCAAAAGGAATACCAACAATCAAATAAATCATGAAAAAATTCTGGAAATGGCGGTAATTCAAATCCAGATTCTAAAGCTTTTTCAAGGGCTAATCAACAAAATGGACCTAATGGCCTTGCTTGCTTGCCTAATTTAGTGACTTCCAGGGTTCTAAGGGCTAATGAGCAGCAATTGCTTCCAATGTTATAAGTGCTAGTGCGGTATCAGCTTGAAGATTCCAAAAACACAATTTGTTAAAATTCTGAATTTTTTATGCATAATTAGATTACAGAAATATGAATACAAGCGCATTGACTTATTAGCCCTGAAAAATTGCTCATCTGCAAATATCAAATTGTTTATTTAATAATCAGTAACCAATGCCACCTAATTAAGAGTAAACTAGGAGAAATAAAGAAAAATTGTCAACAAATGCAGCAAATGTTCATTACAAGTAGCAAAATCTGTTGGAATAGAGTACTTCACCAGAAAAAAAGTAAGGTTAAGGTTAATTGCTTTGAAAATAGATAGAATGTAAATGATAACAATACAACACTGCAGCAATTAAATTCAAATTGTAGTTTTTTTTGAAATTACGAGCTACACTTTAAATTGAAAGCAAATCAAACAAAAAACAAGCTGATAGGCAAACATTGAAATTATTGTTGGAATAGTAAGGAAAAGTAATGTTAACCTTGATTTTTTCGTGGTGAATATAAAGGTAAATAAAGAGTACATTGATTGGATTGGCAATGTTGATATAATGGTTTAGTAAATTGATTGAGTTGCAATTAATTGTTGGTTAATAAAAAAAAGGGAAAGACAGAAAGACAAAGATGACTTACTAAGTGAAAATACATATGCATTTACAAGCAAAATGATCGATTGAAGTGTCTCAGCGAATAAGGTTAGCAAGACCATAAATTTAAGATAATGAGGATATTTATCCAGCCAGTATCCTAAAAAACCGGATACAATGGTTCCTGGTATGTTCATGATGAAAAATTGCCAATTTTTGATATCATCAGCATGACGAAGAATTATTTGGGCATTTTCTGCTGTATTGTGTTTCTCCGTAATAGTTAAACAGTAACTAATTGTCAAATTTAAATCATTAATGCACTTTTTATCCTCAGCAAGTTGTACAACAGTAACATTTTGTAAATTATTGGCAATACCAAACAGTAATAGGCAAAGGTCAAGTTTCATTAGGCCTACAAAATCAACAAAACGTCTCCAGGATGACATTTTTTTGGACGACATTTCCATTCAATGGATAACACAGCAGTAGAAGGAATTGATTGAAATACTTGGACCTTTTTTTTACTATGAATTGCGATTGTTGGTAAAAATTAGTCAGTTTTTTTTGGAGCACTTGAACAATTTAAATAAACTCAATCAAGTTGGTTAAACAGTAAAGTTAAACATCAACTGATTATAATGATAATTAGTAGAAAACAAAAAGAAGGCAATTGTTCCTTTCAAAAAGCATAAGTTGTTGTCAAATGTTGGAGTTTGGGTTGAAAATTACCGGTAAAACTCTTCTTTTCCGATTTCTCAAATAATTACAATTCACAATTGATGAACAGATTGGTGATGGCGATGAGGTTGATATAATTAACGGTGATAATAGAGATGACAGGTATCTTGTTTGAATAATCTGTTGAAAATTCATTCAAATTGAACGTCGACTGGAAGAAGCGCAAACCTTTGTGACCAGATTGTTTACCCAAAGTGTCTCTGGTTATCTCTGGTTCAAATCTTTCTTTTGCTTCTATTGGCTCCTTTGTTTCTCCTACTAAATCAGGTTGACTAATATGTTGACCTTAAAGATGTTGATCTTGAAAATGAGTAATGAGGTCGACAGTTGACTAAAAGGTTAGTTCAGGTTGAAGACCTAATGACAGTTGAGTTGAAACAAAGAGAAAGAAAAAAAAGGATTAGAAAAATGGTTTAACCAGAGAACAGAAAAAGAAATGTAAATATGGCGTTAAACTATGAAATTAAATAATAAATGAATAAATGATCATTTTACCAACAGGAATGTAAAACAAATACATGATGAAAATGAAAAGGTTTATCCGATAAACGAGTAAATTGTTTACTGATTAACTTGAATCACTGTAGCAATGGTTTTTATAATAAGCACAAAATAAAGGATAGGAAAAAACGGTTGAGAGAGAGATTAGACTGATGATGATATTGAAAGGCAGAGAGTGAAGAGAGAGAGAGAGATGGGAAGTCATCTGAATAAATAAATCTTAAAAACATCATTTATGGAATTTTTTGGCTCATTTTTTCGACATTTTTGCATCTTTTGCACCATCATGATAACATGATTGTTTCTTAATCAACACCAATCATGTAATTTACAAGCTAAACTTACCTTTTCTTGTTTGTTTGCTTTACAGAGTTACGAGGTTATAACAAAGGTTCACTTTTGTTTTATTGAATGTGTCACTTTTGCTTGCTTGTCATTAATTAGGTAAAAAGGTTTATTCCGAGAGTTGTTAGGTTTAATTATCTTAACTAAATCAAATAATTGCTGGATGATCAGGTAAACGTTGTTGATTAACACAAAAATTAACAACACTTTGGTTAACTTTAAGGATTGAAAGTCAGGAGTGAGTTAATGTGTGCTAACATTGGGTATTATATTGAAAAAGGGAAGACTCAAGACAAACCTTGACATAAAGATGAAGTTGATTGCAAGATGATTTGATCATGATTCAATTTCAACAGCATTGTTGAATTGTGTTCAATTGCTAACAACTAGCGATTAAAAATAGCGATAACATGATAAATCTAAAAGAGTTATTGTTACAAGTTCATTGTTCAATTCGTTTCAATACATAGATTGACCTGAATCTTCTAGAATCGCCAAACCAGACAAAATGAAAATGAAAATAAATGAAACCCAAAAAAAATTGAAATAAAAATGAACCCAAAATGCATACCAATGGTAATAAAACAAAAAGGCAAACCAGAAAATGAAACCCAAACCCGAATCTTGACTCAATTGAAATGAAATTGAATAACAAGCTTCTTAATCAGATTTTCAATAACTTACATTTTCTTAGCGGTTAAGTAACTGTATTAAATAATGTTGATAGCAATCTACTTGCTAATTGTTGGTAACAATTTAATAATAAGACAAAGTTCAATTGACAGGAAGCAGTAAAACTAGATTTAATTAGATAATCAGATGATATGTTTAATGATGATTTAACAGTAAATGCAATTGCTTTTTTATTCAAATCTTTGTTTGATTCACCTGAAAAATAATGTTGATGACAAGTTAGGTTTTAGTGCATCTTTGTGTTCATCTTAGTTGATTGCTATTTATTGTTCACAATAATTGTTTGTCATCAACATCGTTTATTGTTTATTAACAATAATCTGATTAACAGGCTGATTAAAGTGTTGATGACGCTAAACCATGATGATACAAATGATTACCATGAGTATCAACTTTTCTGGTTAAAACCTAAACAATAAGGTGACTTTCCCAGACCTTGAAGTTTAAAGCAAACAAGATTTGATTACACCTAAAACATTCAATAACCACTCCAAATTGATTAGCTGCTAATTGTTGCCAACAAATTAATGTAATAACTTCATTTTTCTCATCAAACTTCTCAGAATATTTGGGATCATCTTTTCAATGTTTTCTGGTTATGTTTAGATATTTTCATACAAAAATATCACAGTTTAGGCCTTTTATTTTCAAGGTTTCACTTTGGGTTTAACTTTGGGTTTGACCATTTAACTAATCACTTTTCTGGACAATTAATTGATTTGAATGGAAAGGTGTTTCTTTTAAATGTTAATTAAATGTGAAATCTATCAATTCTTATTAGCTGGTTAGAATCGGGTTGAATCTGGTTAATATTATTGTTATATCTTGTGCGAGTTTCAATGTTTTGCTTTTCATTCACCCGATCTAGTGATGGCTATCGTCGCATAGTAAACTTGACCTGAGACTGATGAAAACACTTTTAAGTTACGCGCCAGGTCTTGTCTTGTTAAAGGAAAAGGTCAGAGGAAAAGGTTCGATTACTTTCTATTCAGTTTTGATTAAGTTTTGACGTGATTAAGTTGATTTTACGAAGAAATTTGTTCAGTTTAAAAAATCGAATTGAATTTTTTCGACTTTTTGTCTCGAATAAAGACTGAACTCATAATTCAGTCACATTATTTAACTGAACTGCAATCTACATGAAGTCAGATTTTATCGTCGCAAGTCAACTATGCGAGGTTAGCATCAATAGATCGCTCTGTTATTTTCAATGTTTTGTTTTAATTTATATTTCATTGACTCTTGTTATTTCAAATTGAATGTTAACCAGTTAACTGGTTAACTGAAAATCCATGTTATAAGTTAATTTCAAGTGGAATCTGTTTGTTACTCAATTTATGGATAAACATTTTTAATGTTTACTAATCAAATGATTGTATTTACTGATTGCTTGTTAACATTTCCTACTGATTGTTGTTATATAATAACCCTGTGATAATCATCATGTATCAAGTATATTAATCTTGAAATGGTGAAATGCTTCAAGATTCAAGTTGACAATTGAAGATTACACTTTTTCATTTCATTACTTCATTACTTTAAAATGTTCACCAGATTCAACTAATTCAACTAATTCAAATTTCAATCATTTGAATGTTCCATGCAAAATTTGTATAAAATCATTCTAAATAATCTTTAAGAACCTTTCATCCGATAACTGAATACAATAAAATTGATACTATTTTCCTAATTTCATTGTTAAAGATAAAACGTTCATTGAATTTGTCAAATTGTTTCACCAAAAATCAAGAGACTGTCAAGCTAACTGTTACATATCGACAAAGAGCCTTTTTAATAGTTCAATCCCTGAAATTCAGAAACACTTTAGTTGCTTCTAAAGGTAAGAATCTAATGAAAGGTGAGAAAAATTTGAATTGAAATATCAAACATCAACACCGTTCTTAATGTTGCTTGTAAATTGTAAATTTCAATTGAGAAACAATTTTCTTTTACATTTTTACTTGAATATAAATGAGCCTGATGTGATGGAAACATTTCTTGGATCAGAATGATACTTTTACCAGAATTACCAACAATTTTGAACTGTTTTGTATTTGGAAGTATTTAGATGGTTGTTATTGAAGTCAATTTGGTAAAGTAAGCTAGGAAAATTATATTGATGATATTGGTGCATGATAACTGATTGTAACAATTAGTAAAAATTATTTATGGCTAAGGAATGAAAAGGAACAGAAAAAGTGTTTACTGTTTGACATCAATCAATCATTACTGTCTTATGAGAAACCTGGATTGGTTACGAAAATTCAATTGTTTAACACAAATTAACATTGATGTGTGTGTTCAAGTTAAATTATCTGATTGTCTACATCTAACTGTACAACAATTTAATAGCAAATGGCATTAATAAATTACAGTTTCATAATTATGATCAACAGTAAAAACTGACTAAAAAGACATTCAAATGAAGGGAAACCAGCAAAGAAATGATATAAAATAAAAACAGTTGCCGACATACAGAAAACAGTTGACAGTTCAGATGGTTAACAATCGGAAAAAAATGATACAGAGAAGACAAAAGACCATCAAAATTATGATGATGATGATGGAGACGATATTGTTGATGATGATAAAGAGGAGGACAGTTTGAGCTCCCTGTTGATTGTAAATGGCCTGAAATGAGCGACAAGATGGTGATTAAAGTGATGAAGATGATGATGATTATTCATTGAAATATCAACATTTGATAATCACCTAAATGATCATCATTCATACGGGTTAATCTTCCTCTCTTTCTATCTTCCTCACCATCATCATCATCACAGACATCAGAGTCATAATTATGATCGTCTTTATCATCACCATATTTTTTATTATAACATTCATTGCAATGTTAAGACGACTTTTTATGCTTCCATTTTTACAGTTTTTTTTCTGGTTTTCTCAAAATTTTTCTGGTTTCTTTTGTATTTTTGATTGTTTTTCCAATTGTCGACCAATTGTTGTGAATCCAGTTAATCACCCGCTCAACTGGCCTGACTCCTTGTTGTGACCGCTCACAATGGGCGTGCGAACGCTAATCAGACGGCATTATTAGCGCCCGTTTGGACGACCACAAAAAGGAGCCAAGCGCTTGTTCACCAAATTATTCATTATTTAACCAGCAATTTGGAGTCCATCTAATTACTGTAAATTATAAATGCTAATCAACTGCTGTTAAAACATATACAACCCGAAACTACACTTTAACTGAACAACAGCAAACATAAAGGTTGGTAAACATTTTGTTTTGTTGATTTATTTCACTTCATTTTGGTGACTTACCATTTAACTTTTTTCGCGTCGGATTTACAATTAATTTTCCATCTTGATTGGTGTTAACTGGTTTCTTCCGTTGGTTATTTGGTTACATTTTTGATAATCAACTAGAAATTAGTGTACTTTTAACACCTTTAAACAAAAAAGACGCACAAAAATGGTATTGAAAGAAAAAATTAGGTAAAAATAAATGTGTCTCAATATTGACTTGTTACTTGAAAACTGGTAAAATGTGACCATAAGAGCGATAGTTTTCAGTGAGAGTTCAATCAATTGATAATGACCTCTAATCACTGTTAATCAGTTGATTTGATAAAGATTATTGTAACCAATAGAATCAAGTTAAATCGTAATATTCCCAGATTTTTGAATATCTTGCCTTGATTTTTAGTCTTTATCAGGAATTAGGTTTTCTCTTCATTTTGTCTCATCATCACCATCATTTTTCGTCATTTTCATCATCAGCAAAAACCATTTAGATCACTTTTTAATCAACACAATCTAGATTGTGACTCCAGTGTCACTAATATTTACTGTTTATTGTTAATTAATCAAACAATTTTATCAATCAATTGACATGTCAAGAAGTCTTTGATTGTCTATTCCACTTACGAGAATGCAAAGTTTCCATCAAATAATGATCAATCTATATTGTCCTCCATCTTTACATCTCACGCACACAATTAAAACAATTGTGAAGGAAACAATTAGTTTTATCCGTTTTTTTGTTAATAATTAAAAAGGATCAAGCAAAAGAGCAGACAAAAAACACTCATTGAATGCCATCAACTCTATGCGATACACCAATTGTTACAGCAATCATTTTATCATCTCAAAATGTGGTTAATTCAATTTATCCAGTTTTAGATTGTTATAAGTCAATATGAAGACGATATCCAAATTGGCCAGAATCAAACAGCAAATGGATGACAAAATTTAGGATCAGTCAGTTCGAACCGGTAAAGTCATGTTGCTCATCGATTCCTGTGTCGCCTTAAATATGGGCTTAGCCGAAGGTTGAATTTTGATTATACCGTTAAAGATTGCCATTTCAAGTTTCCTAATCGTTGATAATATGACAAAAATGAACTTTGTATGTTTACTTGTGATCATTAATCCTTATAACACATGGTTAGCTTTATCAGTTGATTTCAATATAAGTTTTTCATGTTTATTTCAATGCAATCCGATCCGTTAATTTGCTAAATTTCCTCTCCTTTATTAGCATTATTAACAAGGAAGAATCTAATTGGCTGGTAAAACTGTTTTTTTTACTTTAATCATCATCATCGTTGAGCTTTGATGAGCCATTTAGCCTCATTAACTGGAGTAATGACCTCAATCAGGACTAGGTACTTTTTTTATGCAATTTATCCAACTTTTATCAGCCAGTAGTTGATATTAGTGTTGATTGTAGATGTATCCCGATTTATATAACTGATTAAATGAAATGTTTGTGGGCAAATGTCCAGCCTTGAGGTTCGCTTAAAAATGCCTTTGCTTTTTGTTTCTTGTCTTGTTTCTTGTCTTGTACAATATGCTTGTCTCTGACTTTCCGATTTTTAGCTTTGCGTTCCATGGTAAGTGTACTTGAAAATTTGCCCTCTTTCCTTTTCTCTCTTTCTTCTTTGACTCATCGTCATCAATATTATTATCATCAACAGGATTCCTTTGATCAGCTTCAGCAAAAATTATAATAGTTAACTCTGCAATTGGGGGGAACAGGCAAATACACAGAATCCATACCAAGTAAGCACTGAACAAACAAAATGGACCCAAATGTCAATGGTTATAAGGTGATTCGTTTGCCAAACGGAAACAGAATTCTTACGCATAAAGTAAATTGAGAGTAAATTACAATTTTTATATGTGTGTATTATTGAAGGTGGATAAAGGTAAAGATGACTGAGAGAGGAAGCAGAGGAAGAAGAAGAAGGATGTTGTTGTCTAGTCTCTTCTGTACCAGGGGCTTGAAAGATGATGATGAGAAGCAGCAGAGGTGGGTTGATAAGGCGGAGCAATTGTAGACCTGTGTTTGCCATTAAATACACTGTTAACCTGATTGTAATTAAAATGGATGAGAGATATTGAGAGGGAAGAAAGAGAGACAGAGTGAGTGAATTAGTGAGTGAAAGAGAGAAATAGAAAGAGATGCAAGAGGGAGAGAGAGAGAGAGAACCATATGCCGTAAGAGTAAATATCTGGTAACTACAAAAAGAGATGTCAATTCATTCCGACAACCATAACCAACATCAAGTTTCTTCTAATACAGGTTATCTGATTCTTCTTATCATGAGTTTCCAAGTTTCCATAACAATCAAGAGGATGATTACTTTGATACTTTTTCATTCAAATCATCAACCTAAAATTTTTTCCCTTTACAAACTTCATTCATCATCCTGCTTTTTTTCAACCACTATTATCATCAAATTTTTCCTCTTCCTTTTTCCCTCCATGTTTTTTGGTGTCTCTCTCTCTCTCTGTCTCTCACCTTTCCATTATGGTTACTTACACAAAACAAGCATTCAATCATTTCAAGCCGTTCCTTTTCATCGTTTGCCATTTGGTTTGATACATTTTTGTCTTCTCTTCTCCTTTTCAGAGCATCCGAACCATGATGATGATGACGACGAACCATTGATGTCCTTATGGTGAATGGAAATCTTTGTGTGGATAAACACTCAAGCCAACCTGCAGATGACAACATTACCTTCGTCGGCTAAGTAGTAGTGCCGCAGGTCGCCATCGGTGATCATCTCTTCGATCAACAATAATGTTGCTTTGGAGTTTGATGATTGCAAACCGTGTGATAAGTCAAGCCGACCTGCACACCGCTACTTAACAGACTAAGAGTTGATTAAATCAGCAACCTATCCAACAGTTGATCCCGCATCTATGTTCATCTTTGTATATTGGTCTGGTAATCACTATTTTAACACAATCATTTTTGTAAGTATAGTTGATCAAGGTAAACACATTTTCACAAGAAACAGATGTAACTCCTCCTACAACTGATAAAAGTAAAAGGGGTTACACATAAATTGAAACTCCAATCAAGTATTGTAACTTGTAATCGTGAAATTGATCCAGGTAGTTCAACAATTTGTCACAGCTTTTTTTATCATCAATCCATCAGGATACCTTTAAGAAAGATATAGCTGACCGGTTAATCTTGTCAATCAAACAAGATCGCAAATTTCAATTCTTGATTGGAGTCAACTTACCAAATTACTTGAAATGGAGGGTTGAAATTATTTTCATGTGTTTATTGAAACATTAGATTTTAAAACAAAATATAATTAGAGTAAAATTTGACGATCGATTTCCTTTTAATAATACTTTTCTTTATTTTCCCGTCAAGGTAGATTTATGTTTACACAGATGCAATCAAATGATGGAAAACAACTGTAAATTACTTTCCAAACTTTCACGTATGGCTGTTAGATGGCACTAGTGACTGAAACTGGAACCGTTCTTTACAGTTGATCTTACCGTTTCTAGAAGCAATTTATTTCAAACTTGGTGGTGGACTTTGAACTACTCAGCTGTAACCACATTAAATTTCAACTATTTAGCTTAACTTAAATTGTCTGTGATTCGTGAATTCCTCATTCAGATATCAATATCCTTATTCTGTAACAAATGAGAGAGAAATAAACAAACAGTTGATGATAAACTTATATTTTAATGGATATAAAAAATGAACTCTTTCAACTCTTTCAACCATTTTAGTTACAATTGAAAGCCGTGAAGCAATGGAATTATTGTATAATCTCAAATTGTTGGATCAGGATTTGCTTTGGTTACTCCTAAAGATACAATGCTACAAAGGGTGAATAAACTATGGAGTAAAAATTACCAACTGGACAGTGATTTATGGCAAAAGATGAATCTTAAAAAGACTAGAAAATAGCTGCTATTAATGTAAGGATGAAGACTTTAAGAGGAAATACAAAATTTAAAGTATCGGTAATTTAATGGTTTACCGATGGACCTGGCTAAAGTGAGCAATTTTGGTGACATTTACATTATTTACCAATTTGTCATAAACTAATTTCAGACTATGATAAATTGTTGAATTACTTGTTTGCGTTAACATCGGACGGGATGAAGAATGACCATTGAATAACTGTTGAAACAAAATTTTGCTTCAAATAGTTGATTTGAAAAAATTACATTAGTTTGTCAAACATTTGATTTCAAAATGAATAAATCCATGAAAACGTGAAAATTGATAATAAAATGGTTAAAAAAGATGATTTGTGATTGATTCCATTGCTACATTGTCCTCTGGTATAGCTTCTGCAGGTTGCCAATTGTTGGTTAACAGTAAACGGTAAAACCATACTAAACATCAATGGGTCACTTCCAGGGCAAACATGATTCAAAACTTGATACATACAATCTCTGTAATAAAACAATCCACTGTAATAAAGATTAATTAACATTAGTAAAAACAATTGAACATATGAAACTTGATGAGCAAAGGAGAAATGTTTTTTACCAGCAAATTACTCTTTGAACCTCAGATGGCGTTCGGTAATGGTGAGCAATCCGTTGACTTTGAAGTAGAGCATTTTCGCAGTGTTGAGCTAAATAGCGAGATCGTTCAAGACAAATTTCAACCGACATCGAACCAGTTGGGTAATTTGGCCTTACACTATCATATGGTTGACTACCATAACCAGGGTATAACCCAGTTCCTGAGGACCCAGGATATGGATAACGGCCACCAATTGGGATCCTGTCTGGAGCTAAACCACCATGCAGTCCATCATTGGGTGGATAAGGAGCTGGTCCTGGAAAAGGTTCCCCATTTATTACAGGTGGACCAACAACTGTTGGATAGCCGATAAACTGACCACTAACAGTCATATCTCTGTCATTGGTGCTTGCCGAAGATGAAGACAATCTTTCTTTATCCAATGGTTCATTTGATACTTTCCTATTTGTTCCGACGATTACTTAGCATTTGGGTGAAAGAAAAGGTGTTAGTTTTATTCGTAATAAGGCTTTTAATTTACTTACTTTCATCTGATTCGTTTGATTGAGATGAGGGTTGTGTTGTCATGTTGACGCACAACCAAGACATGTTTTTGGATCGATCCACCAAATACTGGTTAACCAGATTCTGTTCCTGAGGTGTACAAGTTGTTCTGATAGATGAATGTACACAATCACGAAATCTATTGTAACGCCTGTAGAAGTACAAAAACATTAGTCCAAAATTTTGGCTGAAGCGAGATGCAAATTCTTACCAGCAATTGTATTGGTTTATCGAGCCTGGTGATGGGTTAAGGTTTTCACATTTTTTCACTTCATTACTTCGATAGCAAGGTGAATCCATGATTCCTAAAAAATGAACAAACAGCCATTATTGTAATTGATACAATACCAAAGTAAAAATCTCACTATAATAGCAACAATAATTAAATATTCAACTTCCGTGAGGGTTGTTGGTATCATAAGGTGAAAGCTATTGTATTGAAAATTGTCACTGAATAAATACTGGTAATTGTATCAACCAGCAAACCTCAAATTGATATAATTTAAAAATTAAAATTGTCTTACCTGACTCTCTATCACACTTTTGGTCCAAGTAAATCTTTGATTTATAAACCAGAGTCCAAGTTGTTTGTGATGTTAGTGAATCTCGTCGATCACAATATGGACTTAAACTCAACAAACAGTCAAGATTGTCCCTCAAATTGCTAACCAATGAAAAGATTATTAATTTAACAAATTAAATTTTAAAACAATATAAGTTATAGTTACCGGCAAGTATAAGTCAAAGGCCACTTAGGATCACCAAAATTGGATTGCTGGGAAATCATTGGTATTGTTTCTGATTGACATTGCTGAAGCTTGGCACAAACTGATGAACTTTGAATATAGTGAATGAAATCTGTTGATCATTTAAAGTAAATTAGCACAAATTAATAATAACCTTTTAATGGTAAACTTACTTGAAAATATTAAAAGAGTTATCAGCTGACTCCAATTAATGGACATGTTGCATTGGCACAAAACTAGAGGCAAAGACACTAAAAAACAGTTTGTTTCCGTATTGACAAAATCACTGATTTGATTGTTGTTTTAACAGATTGTAAATTTCACTTTATTTGATTCATTTGGTTGGTTATAAAATACAAAAGATGGACTACAATTAAGCGAAACGCTTGAACATCTAGCCATACTTGATGTTGACGACAAGTAAGCCTGAGATGATTATGATGGTAAGTTAATCAGAAAATTAACAAGTCATTGAGGGCTGATAAATGGTGGCCTAAACAATTCAAAATCAAAGCTGATCTCATTTTTTTTACATTTATTTCTCACTGATATTATTGGGAGCAAGACTGAATTGGTTACTACGTTTGTAATAAATAGCTAGTAAGACTGGATCAATTGATGATTAGACAATTTTTATTTGCCTCACAACAAAAATCAAGATTCATGCCTCTTAGTAATTAGAATCTGTGACTTAATTAAACTTATGTATATCTATTTGATACAATAATTTCAATAATCAAGGTTGCAATTAGTTTAATAGGTAAAACATCCAATGAATTTCAATACAATTCACGATAATTCCTCCATAATCAACACCAAAGATTTAAGGACAATTGCTTTGCTCTTTGACCAAGATTGAAGCCATAGATTAAATACACCAGAAAATGGTCAATTTGGTGGTCACTTTGTCTTAAAAGGCTCGTTATAAGGGTAAATCAAGGGAAGAAACGCGTTTAGAAACTGATTTAATCAATAATCCAAGTTGTGAGCTATTCCTTTGTACTGAACCCATTGATTCATGTTTTGAATTGTAAACAAGAGCAAGAATAAGATTGAAGAAAGGATCTATTATGTCTTAAATCACAACAATTAACATTAAATTAAAGATGTCCAAGAGTCTGGTAAACACAAATCAAATTGTTAATTTGGTACATTTTATAATTGCTGACTTAAAAATAAAATTAGTCAACATTGAAAGTTTCCATCGTCATGGATACATAAATAACCGGTTCTTTTCAAATTGAAATTTCAATGTTAATGATTAACATGTTTTCTCGTTCTCAATGATTGAAACTGTTTTTCAATAACAATGTTATTGTAATTATGCGCATGTTGCAGATATTTAAATCTATTTTCAGTTTCACTTAAGCTACTAAAACAGCTTGACTGTAATCAAGTCAATCACAATCACAATTAGCTAATTTGTGTTATAACATAATTGTTGGATAGAAACTCCAATTTTTGAACGATATGATATATTACATGTACCATTAAATGTCAAAGACACTTAAACCAGTCAACAGTTCACCAAAAAATCAATAGATTGAATGACCTTTAATCTGGTAAATCGAAATGGTTAGAAACTAATTTCAAATGTTTCGATCTTTTAAAATAAATTGTTCAAAATTAATGGCAAGATGTGAGAAATTAATAAAACTAAGAAATTATTCCGATTAGTTTAAATGAAAAGAAATGAGAATTGAAAAAAAATTTGACAAAAGTAAATTATTTTGAAGCAATTATTGGAAAGAGCTAAAAGATTACTCATTGAAATGTTGGAATCAATAACTAATATTAAGAGTGTTGGTATCAAGTGATTAATGCAAATTTAATTGAAAATGTCAAAGTAATCAATCAAATTCACTGAAAATTACAATAAACAGACAAAAATGAAGCAAAAGCAACAATGGAATTGGGAAAAAGTGTTGCTTTGAAGTGTGAAACAAATGAGAAATTTTCATTAATCCTGATCAACAATTGCATCTGAAAGACTAAACAATTAAAAAATACACCGATGTATATCAATTGCGGTTGCAGATATTTAAATTGAACAGTTATTTTGATTAAGAGATGCTTGGATTTGTCTTGATTAACTCCTCAATTGTAACAATAATTTGTATCCCTAAAAATAAATTCAAAATAAGGGATAAAATGCCCAAACTTTGCTCAAGAAATACCCAAACCTTTATTATCTCTATAATTTTTCTTCTCTCTTCTTCTTCTCAATTCTATATAATAATCATCATCAACATCATCATCATCATTCAATGTAATTCAACGTTCTCATCACATCTAAAACCCATTCCAGCATAGTTTTTCATCTCGATCATGGGATTGAAGAAAAAGCAAAAAAGAAGGAAAAAGAAGGAGCAAAATTTTTCCATTGAATCTGAATGGAAAGACTTGAACGAAAGGAATAACCTTTTGCCATAGAGTCTCTCTTTTCTCATCATCATCACCATCACCATCACTATCATCATCATCATCATTTCGTCTTCTCCTTCTTCTTTTTTCTTCTCCTGCCTTTGCCTTCCTTTGCTTTTGCCTTTACTTTCATTTATCGTCCTCATATTTTTATTTTGCTGCCTGTAAAAAGCCTTTAACATCAGGTTAAGGATTATCGAACAAATAGAAACTCAGAATGGCGCAGAATCTTCCATAGGAATTGTTATTCTCCTTGTTTTTTCCTCTTCCCATGAAAATTGCTTCTTGGTAGATTCAAGAACCTATAAGGTTAGGAATAATATCAACCTAGAACGAAAATGATAAGAAAAAAAATAAATTTAGTTGGTTGAAAATGAGAAAAGGTAAGATTGAAGATAATCACGGTTTCAATCCTGTTGATTAACAGTAACTTTGACGATACCCGAGAAATCAATTTTAAATGAGAGTTAATCAGTTTGCATTGAAATTTGTTTTTATTTCATGAGAGCGAGAGAAAAAAGTTAAATCAAATTTGGTTATATTTATATAAGTTTAATAGTTGCTCATCAAAATCAACCTGATTTTGTCTTTTGGAATATCATTTAAAAATGAAATGTAAAAATGATTAGCATTGGGATAAGAGTAAAGGGTTCAATATATATATATATGTATATTTATATATATTTTTATGTATATATGTATAGTCAATGGATGCGGCCGATGATCATGATGCATTCATTTTAAGTGTGATTAGTTATTTTTGAGTTTTCGTTTTTTGTTTTCTGTGCTGTTTTCAGTGGCATTTTGTTTTGTTTCAAAGTTTTACAGAGGATTTGAATGAGCCAAAAATGATCAATTTAACAACAATGAGTTTCTTTGCTAAATTTTGTTTTACTTTTTTCTTTGCTTTTGTTGCATTTTGAATCACATCTTTTGAGTCCTTTTTTTAAAAAAGTAGCTCAATTGCGAGTCAATTAAATTTTATTTAAATATAAATATTTAAAGTTATCTCTTTTCAGTTTGGCTAATTAACTTTTGTTAATAATAATTGCTAACCTTGCACCAAATTTAAGAAAAAAGTAACGATGAGAAGAATTGGGATGAATTTGATTTGATTTAGACTCTTTACATTAATTTTTGAGTCGCCTTAATCATCTCATACATCATCATGACCATCAACTTATTTGGGCATATTTATACGAGGATAAAGAAATGGAAGAAATGTTAATTTGTCATTATTTTGTGTTCTATTGGAAAAATTGAAACAAGTTATATTTATATAAACATGTTCATAATCATGATGATGAGAAAGGATGAATAAGTGGGGAACATCTAATGCAAAAAAGAACGAAACAGAAAAATTAATTTCAACAGCAATTAAATTAATAGAGGTTAATATATATAAAGGGTTTGTATGTATATATGTATATCAATATACGGAATAACCATTCGGATACAAATGATTAATTCTTAGCAAAAAAATGCCAAATCAAGAGTCAAGAATAAAAAAATTCAATTGATGGAGGTTCCTCAGCTTGTATATAAGTTTCCAGGGTCCAGTTTATTAATGTCATCTCAGGTGACAATCTGGGCTCCTTTTCAATATTTCAGTCAACGAGATTAAGCCTTTTCAATTGTGGAAGTCGATTTAATCCCAGGCTACTTTATTGATACTCAAAATGGCACAAGACTTTGTAGGTTCCCGTCTTGATTTAGATATCTTTGCTGTTGAAAAAGAGAGATTTGTCTTCATGCTGTAACTGTTTCAACCATTGTTTTCTTGATGATTTCTCCGAAATTTTCAATTATATCGTCTGATGATTGATTATCTTGAGAATCTGATTTATCTGAATTTTCTAGAGAAGGTGAATCCTGAGAAGATGATAGTGTTGAATGAGCACTGGATGAAGATTCGTCCAATTCAAAAGATACTAAGCAACCAGCTCCATTGGCTGAGATTACAGAGTCTTTTGATGATGAGCTCGATGATGATAGGTGGTTATCACCATTCAAATCTTGATCAGGATCTGATTTTAAATTACTTGTTGATGAATCAGATACCATGGAAACCGGTGTTATAAATCGCACATCTTTACTAATGCTACCTGACCCAAGGATGCCACTAAATGACTCAGCACACTTTGAGGATGCAATAGACTGACTAAGATCGGTATAATGTGAAGAATAATCATCTATTTGGAAGTTAGCATGATTCGATTGATCAGTTGAACAATTTGTCATTGGATTTAAGTCATTGTTGGCATTGGTGTGGCAACTCCCAGAAGATCCACAAGTAGAAGAGCTTGTTGTTAAGTAGTCACTTGAGTAAATATCTTGGTAGCTATACGAGTGATGATGGTGAGGATGGTGATGCGGATGTTGTTGTTGCTGTGGATGTTCCTGCAGAAGCTGATGGTGATGATGGTGGTGTTGCTGGTGGTGATGGTTATGGTGGTGATGTTGCTGATTATGATGATGTTGATGAGGATGACCATTATGATGTGGCTGGTGCTGATGATGTTGGTGATGAGATGTAACCGAGTAGCATGAGGATGAAGAAACATTTGAGATGTGATTGTTTGATTGCCTCAGAATTGGACTTGAATTCGAATGGTTAATTGCTTGATTAGATCCTAAACTAACAATATTATGATTATTAGCGCTTGAATCACAGTTGTTACCCATTAAAAGACCATGGGTATTATTTGAGTTATTAACAGATCCATAAATTCCATTTGACTCAAACCCTGAGGATTCATTGATATTTGGAAATGAAGAACTTTGATTATGATCTTGATTCCAGTGCGATTTAGAGCCAGATGCTTGCCCTTGCTCATTTAAGTTAGAGTTAATTGCTTGTTGCGTCGAGTTGTGAATGTTGCTTGAACCATTGTTACCATTGACTTCAGAGCAGCTAGAAAGTGTAGAGTTTGATCTGCCAATATTATTACAATTATTACTGCTACTTTCATTGTTGTCATTGATAAGGTCTGAATCATAATCCTCACTGGTACAGTCAGAATTTTCTGAATAAGAACTATCTTCAGGACTAAAGGAACTATAGATATCGAGACAGTCGTTGGTGATTGTGGGACAGGTTAGATTACTGTTGAGCGTGGATCCAGGTATATCATTACAATTTGAACCTAAGGGGTTAAGGGACGAATGATTATCTAAAGATGAACAACTAGAGTTTAAAGCACCACCAACAACAAGAGAGTCGATAAAAGATTGATTTCCAACACTGAGACTGGAACAAGGACCACCATTGTTAATGTTACCACCATTATTAGTTAAAACACAGTGAGAACCATTGTTACAACAGTTATTGTCGCCACTATTGAAGCCGTGATTATTTGCTAAGTAGTGGCTAGTTGATGTATTGGAACAGTTTGAGAAAGCAAGGTTGGGGCCAGAGTCCGTAGAATCACTTGAAGATTGACCACTCATTTCATCATTTCTCTGATAAATTGGAAAAAAATAAAAAGAAAGAATTATAAATAAATAAGCTTCAACATTGATTATGAATAGAGGAATATTGGGATTTTTTAATTAGTGTAGATTATATATTTTTGTCAATATGAAGCAACTCAAGGACAGCATTGGATAAACTAACGATGCAAAATATAAAATTAGATAATTGAAAATAATGGTTGCTTTGACAGTTAACCATTAGGTAAGTTAGGAATAAGTTGAGAGTTAAATTGTTAACATAAAACTGCTCTTTCCAATTAACTATCTATTTTTATAAGCGATAATATCGATTCAGTTCAATATTTTTGTCAAAGATAATAGATAACGGGAAATTATCATCTTGAACCAAGTGTGCAAAGTTGACTTAAGAATCGGATAACCAACAATTTGAAATGTAAAAATGAAAATTGGTTATTAATGTAGTTTGGGTTAAAGTGAGAAACCATAGTAAAATGAATTATCATTCATGGTAAGAAAAATGATATCGAGTAAAGGTACAAATGACGTCTGTTAAACAGGTAAAAGTAATTGAAAACAGACTCAGAAAATGTTGGACTTAAAGTTGAAATAATGATAATTCATTAAGTAGTGAAATCGTTCACCAAAACTCAGCGTCCTATTTAAGCTTAGTCGAGGTTAATACACCAGTTCAACCTTTGATAGGAAAAATTCAAGAGCGAGAAGCCAAGAAAGAAAGCTTGAAAAGTAAGAATAAAGACTCAACACAATTGAACAATCTGATAGGATATACAATAATTGAAATGTTCAATTTCGTCAAGTGTAAATATTGAAATTAATAGAAACAAAAATTAACTTGAAACAATTTCAATTTTCTATTATAATTCAATCATTATAATGAAAAAAGCAAATAAATGCTAAATAAAGTAGATGGCGCTTTGTAAAGCAATCAGTAAACATTAACATTTGGATTCATTTTCATCGACTTAATCATAATTAACAACAATTTACCAATGAGCAATGAAATAATGCACAGATACAAAAGTAAAGTGGATAAAAAAATGTCAAAAGACATGGCGAGTTGATCAGAAAAAAAGGTTCAAGAACGAGGACAAGATGATGAATGAATGATTCAGTGCAACCAGGTTAGGACCTAAATTATGAAAATATGAAATTGATATAAACTGAAATGAAACCTAAAGTTGATATTTTTCTAATAAATTGGATTTATGAATTATTTCATTTGTAATTGTTAATAACGTTTGTTTCGTTAGCCAAGGTTTGTTGATTGTGTTGCCACAGAAACTGAAAACAAGACGTTTTTTTCAACATGAAAAAGTAGCTAAAAAACAAGGTAAACTTGAGTTATCTTGGTTCAATGTCGTTTGACGACTTGCAACATGTTTAAAGGCAGCAAGAAAGCGGTTCGGCAAGTTAAAGTGAGCAGTGAGTAGTTGGAAAAATGAGGCAAAAGAAAAGGCAGAAAGAAAGAGGGAAAAGAAAGAGATGGAAGATAATTAGGAAAGAGAGAACCAGAATTTCTTTCTTTTACGTTTCTCTCAATTTTTTGCTGTTTCTTTCTTTCTTTTCCTTTCCTTTTACCATCTGAAAGGTGCAAATCGATGGTTCAAATCGATTTTTAGAGACTTGACCGTAATAGTTCGAAGAGAAAATTGAGCTGAAAACGAGTTTTGAAACGGGAATGAAGAAACAAAAAAGAGACTGAATGTAGAATGGAAAAGAAGGATAAAGGGGAAAGAGAAAGAAAGTAAAGTGCAGTTGTCCTCTTTCTTTTTTTTCATCCTATTTCTCTTGCTTTTACATTAACAATAAGTTTTGCAAGTTGAACCAAAATAACGAATGTGTTGGACTTTTCAAACTGTTATCTATGAGACTTGAGGCTCATGAATTTTATCCAATCTAGCGAATTGCATTTTGCGATATTCATTAAACTCAGTGCTCAGATGAACAGGAGACAAAGAAGTGAGTTTGGTGAGATGAGAGAGAGAACGGAAATAAGATGTGAGGAATTGAGTGAGTAAAGGAGAGACCAGAAGAAGCATCGATCGATTGTGAGGCTACATGGTTCACTAGTGCAAAAAAGGGGAATCATGAGAAGAGCAAATGGTATTGAGGTTGATATAGGTCTCTCTCATTATCATTATTATCAACATCATCTTCATCAACAGACTTTTCCGTCTTTATAAACATTGACTTTACCGTCAACATTCAACTAGACTGTTGCTGAAACATTTAATTTGAAATGTGAAAAAGAAAGAACTTTTGACTTTAACTTTGTGAGTAGAAACCTAAAAAGCAAAAGTAAACTTTTTAATTTATTTTCAACATTCTCTTCTGATCAATCTTTTGGTGGATCGTGGACAAAGGAAAATGTTGATGATAGTGTTTCAACGAAAGTGACTGGATGGATTAAGGGCCCAAGATAGTTTAATGTTCAAGGGAAGGCAGAGAGAGACAGAAACTAGGAAGAAAAATGAAAAGGGAATAAAAGATGAAGGGAAGAGGGATTGCAGTGACTTATTTTTCAAATCGATAGACGAGGAGGTTGAGGGATGTAAACAAAAATGAGCGGGAGGTGGAAGAGAGAGAGAGAGATGTTGTTAGTTAGTTGGATGAGAAGAGCGCAAAATGAAATCGAAATGCTAGAGAAAAAAGATGAGGTTGAAGAAGGTATTGCTGGAGTGTGGATACAACAGCAACAAGAAAAAGAAGAAAAGATGGAAAGAGAAGCTCAAGTTGATGGAAAGATGAGAAAGAAGAGAAAGAGGAAACAAGAAAAATAAGGGATGTTTCGCTGGGAAGATGAAGAAAGGATGATAGAGATGATGAAGAAGAGGAAGATGATGATAGGCAGAGAGCAAAATCCTTCCAATTCCCCGCGTTTGGAAGTTTAGCTGAAGAGGAAAGTTTAGGGTCATGAAGAAAGAGAAAAAGAGAGGAAAAGAAAGACAAGCTGAAAGCCTACCTATATTCCAAAATCAATACTCTCTTTCTATTTCTCTTTCGACCTTAAAGCCTGTTTGTGTTAATGTTAAAACTGAAGGAAAGAGAAGCAAGAGAAAGAGAGAAAAAATAGAATAGAATTTAGCTGGAAATGGCGAAAGAGAGGTAGACAGAGTGGATTGGTGAGTATGGAGGAGAAGTGTTTTTGGTTAGAGTGAAAAATGCAAGAGGGAGAAGTGGAACAAGTGAGAGAGAGTAAAATAGCAAAAGAGGAATGAGTGAGAATCACAAGAATGGTTGATGAGGAAAGGAAAAAGAGGGAAAAGGAAAAAGGGAGGGAAAAATGAGCAAAATAATGATGAAGGTTAGGTTGAACCAGAAGAGGGGAAGGAAATGGCTAAAAATGGGGAAAACAAGTAACAAAAAGGGCGAGAGACAGAAAAAAGAGAAAGAAATGTTTATGAAGGGAAAGATTGTGATAGTAAGAGAAGCAGCAGCAGCAGCAGCAGCTATAATGAGCTAGCTATGAGAGTATAAGGGAAGATAAAATGGGAAGAGAAGCGTCAGAAGATAGGCAAAAGAGAGAAAAACGTAGAAAGAGAGGAAAATCAAGAAGAAAGAGAGGGCGGTAGAGGTAAGTTGAAGAGGGAAGAGAGGGAAAAATGAAAGAGATAAAGGGATGATATATCTTTGGATAAAAAAAGAATAAGAGAAGAAAAAACCAACGATTTTAAGCCAGCTGACGTAGTATAATTAAGTCTAAATATGATGGCTTGGTTGAATAGCGTACTTATGAGAAACAATAGTTTTTTTTGATAACTGGGAGTGAGTTAACGACTAGAGCGACCTAAAATCAAGTGATGAGGTTTGTTAATAAATGAGCGAACTTTGCATCCTTGTGAGTCAAAATAATAAACAAGATTAGTTTGAATGGATTGATAATTCCCATAGTAAAAACATTTGGTATTTGAAATGTAAGAAAAAAGTCGAAAAAGTTGGTTATTTTGATTTGAAAAGTTGGTAAAAAGAGTAAGTTGAATTGTTATTACGAAAAGATATTGAGAAAAATAAGTCTTTTGAGTGGATATTAGAAGAGAGAGAAGAAATGCGATTTGAGTTGAATTAGAGGACAAAGTGTATAGTGCATGATATAATTGTTGTTTATACTTACTTGTTGCTCGTTCTTTCTTTCCAATTCCAATCTCATGATTGTATGAATGAAATGAGTACGCACTCTTAACGGATTGAACTCAACTCTACCATTTTGATTACCACACCCGTCACGGGTACAACCACAGGGGAAGGATAAACGATCAACTTGACATTTGATTCCAGCTAAGCTACATTGACAAGTCTCTGGATCACAATAAATTTGACATTCACAGCCACAGTATTCTCTTGATGCTCTTATATCACGACATTCTTCTTTTTCCATAGTTTCTATTTTATGAACACCCGATTCTCGGAGTAAAGCTCGTCGTTGACGTAATGGAACAGGTTGAAGAAAGTAACAACTATCCATCTCTAATTCTGAATCAGAAATATCACTTATGTCATCATTTGAGTCTTCCTCTGATTCAGACGTTGATCCGGAACTTTGCTTTTGAAGCATTTTAGCGTATTTGCGTTGCCTTAAAAGGATATCTCGATGAGCACGCTTCTTCTCTTCAGCGTGAGAATCCAATGTAAAAGTTCTGATAGAACAATGACGAGAATCCATGCCTAGAGTTGATCCTCCTTGACTAGGAACACAAGTAAAACCCTGTGACCTGGGAAAGTAATAAACAGTCACTCCTTTGAAATTAACCGACTTTTTCACGCGTGTGACATGAGACTTTTTCAAAAGCCCTTTGACAATCTTGGTAACATTGTGACGAGTAACATCAAATGTGTCCTCTGAAGTTTTTTGAACTTTGGCTGGAACAGGAGATGATCGTTCATTTTCATCTCCATCAATTTTATTTTGATCTTCTTGACCAAGGTCAGTCATAGTTGTTGATATCTAGTAGAAGGGCAGAAGTAAAACCAATCGGTAAGAAACAAAATAGGTACACGATAATTATAACCGATATCTAACAATATCTAGAGTTACAAGCTAACCATTTCAAATAGCTTACCTTTCAAGTTAAAGTTGAACAGTGATAAGTTGAAAAAAGGTCTTTCTTTATAGTACAGATAAATCACTCAATGTAGTAGATAGAAAATCAGTAGATATTACTGATTAGCTATTGGTGTTTGAACAATTTTTAAAATAATTAATAAATATCGATGGTGGAACACAGAAACATTTTGAAAAAATATAAGAGTAAGAAAACATGGTTATAGCCAAATCTTTACTGCATTTGAAAATATAAGAATCGCCTGGTTTAGGTTTTAACAACTGACTGACTTAAACATCAGCCTCTAAAGCTTTCAGACTCCAACTCCGATTTATATGGTTGGTTGTGGCGGAGCCACTTCCGCATTTTGCGCGGATTACAAGAGAGTATCTGTTAAATATTCATTTACATTTACATCTTTCAAAACCTGTCTACGTGCGGCTGCTTACAAAAAGATATTTCTGCGCACATCTCAAGCAGATACAAGTTATTTCAACTGACTTTTTTGAGGGAATTTACAAAACGACGGTGAAATTGTGAATAGGTTGAAAAGGGATAAATTACATTTTAAAGATACATGATTACAATTGTAAAAATTTGAAGTTTAAATATCTTCAGAGTTTACATGAAAAATAGAGAAAAAAAGACACTGATTATTTCCATCGAAAGAGTGATATTTACGAGTTAAACTGACTCGATTGGAAATTTAAACAGTATAAAGATCACATTGAGAAAAAGACCACATTTGTAGTAATCTAATGTAAGCCAAGAATTGTCATAGAGATGATCAAAAATGGTTAATTGTTGATGATTAATTAATTCTTGACATTGATTAGATTCATTTCAATTTCCTCTTTTTTGTTGTTTTGCTCAAACGTCACTTGCGCCATCTTTGATAAATTGTTGTCCTCAATAAAGGCTAACCAGAAAAAGCGGGTTAATAATTTTCATTTGAACCAGGATTTTGAAATCTTTGCTCAAATATTTTGTTGCGATGTTCAATTGACAAAATGGGTGCTAATGTGGTTCCTGTCCTTAAAATCCTTTGATTAAAACGATCACGATAACTGGCTTCAAATTCCCAGTATTTACTTCGAGATTCAATGTCTTCAGGACTGTCCTCAAAATAGTAGATGGTGTACAACATGAACTCAAAATTAACCCGGGCTTTCTTCTTGACATTTGGCTTTTTTGGCGGAGTCACCACTGGTGATTCCTCACTTTCCTCTGAATCTGTTTCTCGTCGATCCATTAGTAACTTTTTTGGCATAGATAACTTGAATAATAAGTTAATAAATAAAGAATCAATCAATTGATAGAAAATGATTGCACAGCTGATTGAATATAGAAAAGGACCGATAGCTGACAATATTTTATTCACTATGTGTAGGTCAACAAATTTATAATTTAATAAATACTCTTGTACTCCTGATGAACATAGATATAAATCAGTGGATACTACTGTAACAATTATTACTATTAAAGACATTACTAGGATTTAAGATAATTATGAAACATATACTGACAATATTAATGAACATTTTGAACTGATGCAATAGACACTCTTACTCTCATAAGCATTAAACAGTCAAATGTTTACTTTCAGACTAACTGTTAAACTCAACAACAGTTAGCGACATCTAATGAATGTAATATGTAACATACCATGGTTTTCCTTCAATTGAAGTACATTTAAAGTGCATTTCAAGTTTCATTTAGTTTTGTAATTGTTTTTGATTCGCTCTTTTCGCTTGTTTAGAGGTTTTCCGTTTCCAATTTTTCGCTTCGTTTCCTTGTCTTAGCTGAGAAAATGAATTTTCGTTATTTACGATTCAATTTTCAGTCCGAGAGCTGCGATGACGAAATAATTGAGAGACGTTGCTCAGGTCAACTGACCGCTTAGAAGTTACTATTTCCATCCAAAGAGGACACAATTTTTAAAACGAATATTTGACTAACAAGGTGAAAAATTCATTCAAAATAAATGAAATTCCCTCAGATAATTGCGAATATTATTCTCTTTCATTTGCACCCAAAAATGTTCAATTCAAATTAATTCGTTAATTAAAAGGATTTAAAGCTGGTACCAATTTTATTTTAAGCCATGAAATTTACTGCGAAAAATTTACGCCGCTTACTTCAAGCGTTCAATAAATAGGATTAAGGTCAAAATTATGGGCTAGTTTGACCTAATAATGATAAATAATTCTCAATAATCAAATTAAAACTAAATTTGATAAACTAAACCTAATAATTACTTAAATATTAGAGTTTGAATTTCGTCTCGTTTTTTATTTATCACCCCTTAGTCTTAGTGAATAAAATATTGTCAGACATCGTTCCTTATATTTGTTCAATTGTGATCATTTCCATACATCTAATTGATTCTTTAAACAAGTGATGCCAACCAAGTTAGAGATGGATCGTCGAGAAACAGATTCAGAGGAAAGTGAGGAATCACTGTGGTGACTCCGCCAAGAAAGCCAAATGTCAAGAAGAAAGCCCGGGTTAATTTTGAGTTCATGTTGTACACCATCTACTGTTTTGAGGACAGTCCTGAAGACATTGAATCTCGAAGTAAATACTGGGAATTTGAAGCCAGTTATCGTGATCGTTTTAATCAAAGGATTTTAAGGACTGGAGACACATTAGCGCCCATTTTGTCCATTGAACATCGGAACAGAATATTTGAAGAAAGATTCAAAGATTTTAGTTGCAATGGAAATTATTAACCCGCTTTTTCTGGTTAGCCTTTACTGATGACAACAAATTTTAAAGATGCCCAAGAGACGTTTCATTTATATGGAAAAACGGAAAGTGAAATGGTTAGCTTTCAACTTATAACTCTAGATATTGTTTGATATCGGTTATAATTATCGTGTACCTATTTTGTTTCTTACCGATTGGTTTTACTTCTGCCCTTCTACTAGATATCAACAACTATGACTGACCTTGGTCAAGAAGATCAAAATAAAATTGGTGGAGATGAAAATGAACGATCATCTCCTGTTCCAGCCAAAGTTCAAAAAACTTCAGAGGACACATTTGATGTTACTCGTCACAATGTTACCAAGATTGTCAAAGGGCTTTGAAAAAGTCTCATGTCACACGCGTGAAAAAGTCGGTTAATTTCAAAGGAGTGACTGTTTATTACTTTCCCAGGTCACAGGGTTTTACTTGTGTTCCTAGTCAAGGAGGATCAACTCTAGGCATGGATTCTCGTCATTGTTCTATCAGAACTTTTACACTGGATTCACACGCTGAAGAGAAGAAGCGTGCTCATCGAGATATCCTTTTAAGGCAACGCAAATACGCTAAAATGCTTCAAAAACAAAGTTCCGGATCAACGTCTGAATCAGAGGAAGACTCAAATGATGACATAAGTGATATTTCTGATTTTGGATGTCTAGCACTGTTAGACTCTGTTGGTTTGTGGTGGCAAAAAAACAAGTCCATTTGTGTGATTATTAAATTTCTCCGATCGACAGTTGCTGAGGAAATCGAATCCAAAGTTGAAACTTCGATCGTTCTTTGTCGGATTATGGAACAAGATTTTTTCATGAAACTTATTGATCTGATGTAACTTTTTATTTTCAACCAGAAAATGAACTTATTTTAAGAAATAAAAGTTTCTGTTTCTGAACAAATAGGCAAGTTCGCTTTTAATTTAAACCTTCCGCAATTTGTGACCGTAAGACTTAGAGAGCTTAAACTTATTATTCACGGATAAAAATTTTAGATAGATATCATAGATTGAGCATTTTTTCAATTTATGGCCAGTTCTCTTGATTTTGGACCATTCACCTAAAAACTTTTAACCTAAATATTTCGAGAATGGTTCTATCAAGAACCATTATTTTTCGATCAATGTAAACCCTTTACTAATTAATAACTAAATCCAATTTAAAAAATTTCAATCAGCGCATTCGGGTCATGAAATTCGGGTTTTAAATGTACGAGTAACAACTTATTCAACAAACAAAACTCATCTCAACCCATTTCTTTATAAATAAACCAATTTTCTGGTTAAATTTTCAAATGAAAATCAAAGATTGCTGCCAAAGACTCGAGCATTTGAGTTGAGAGTTGAGACTTTATAAATTGGTAGGGACATAAAAAACTGAGTCGCTTAGTACTAAAAAATACTTCATCCGATGGACAGTTTACTGGAAAATCGAGCCCAAAGTTGAAACTTCGATTGCCATTTGTACAGCTATGGAAGCAAATTTTTTCATCAAACTTTTTCTCCTGATGTAACTTATGATTGTCTAACAGAAATCGAACTTGTTTAAGAAAATAAAAGGTTCTGCTTCTGAACAAATCGATAAGTTCGATTTTCAGATAAACCTTCCGTATTCTGCGACCAGATAAGTTAGAGGGCTGAAACATATTATGAGTCCATAAAAATTACCTGTTCATATCATGGATTAAGTAATTTTTTCAATTTATCAACAGTTCTCTAGATTTTGGCCATTTGTATAAAAAGTTTGAACCTCGATATATCGAGAATGGTAATACCTACAATCGCCATCCCTTTACCAAACATTAGATTTTATCATAGATCATAACATAATGTAATTTTATATTATTCAAGAAACTACAATAGAAATTAAAGTCTTTTGTTACTTATAATGGTCAGATTTAATGCATTTATTTGCTTTATTTACTCTTATAAAGGTAAATGGTTGAGAAAAGACAGATCTTATGATGTTTTAAATGGATATTCATCACTAAATGACTTATCTCGAGTTTTTTTCCGGTATAGAGTCATATTATGTTATTACCAATAACAAAGTCTAATGTTTGTTCGAAGAATGGCGATTGTAGGTACTATCATTCTCGAAATATTGAGACTCAAACTTTTTAGGTCGAAGCCCAGAATAAAGGAAACTGTCGCCAAAATATGAAAAATATCCAATGTATGATGTTTACAGGCAATTTTTGTGGACTAATAATCAGTTTCAGTCCTCTAAATATTACGGTCACACAGAAAGATCGATTTGACTGATAATCGAACTTGTCTATTTTTCCAGAAACAGAAAATTTTATTTCTTAAAATAAGTTTATTTCTTGGTTGGCAATCAAAAGTTACATTAGACAAATAAGTTTCATGAAAAAATCTTGTTCCATAATTGCTAAAAAGACGATCGAAGTTTCAACTTCGAACTCGATTTTCTCAGTAACTGTTTGTCGGAGAAATTTAATAATCACACAAATGGACTTGGTTTTTCTGCTCGTACAATAGTAATGCTGTTGATAGAGTTGTTAGTAAAAAGACTCAATTAAAACAACAGTCACATTTATGCACAAATCGATACAAATACTGGAAGAAAAATAGGCAGAAAAGGATAAAAATGAATTTCATGCAAATTTATTATTTAGTAATTTGTAGAGACACGAGAACTGAGTCAGTAAGTGCGGTTAAAAAATTCAAGCGACCCACAGTTACCGAGAAAATCGATTCCAAAGTTAAAACTTCGATCGTATTTTGCGCGATTTTGGAAAAAGTATTGTACATGAAACTTATTTTCCTTATGTTACTTTTGATTGCCAACCAGAAAATGGACTTATTTTAAGGAATGAAAGTTTCAGTTTCTGAACAAATCGATAAGTTCGATTTTCAGTCAAATAGATCTCTTTGAGTGACCGTAAGACTCAGAGGTTTGAAACTGATTATTAGTCCATAGAAATTGCCGGTACACATCATGAGTCTTTAAATTTTAACGATTTGTGGACAGTTCTCTTGATTCTGGGCTTTGACCTAAAAAGTTTGAGCCTCAATATTTCGAGAATGGTGCTACCTAAAATCGCCATTCTTTGACCAAACATTAGATTTTGTTATTGGTAATAACATAATATGACTTGATACCGAATAAAGTTTCAGATAAGTCATTTAGTGATGAATATCCATCTAAAACATTATAAGATTTGTCTTTTCTCAACCATTTACCTTCATGAGAGTAAATAAAGCAAATAAATGCATTAAATCGCACGCCAGAAGTTATAAAATGCTATAACTCTTTGTTTTGGTTTCTTGAATCATCGGGAATTTCATTATATTGTATTGCAGAATAGAATCCAGTGTTTGGTCAAGGAATAACGATTGTAAGTAC